TGACAAAATTATTTAATTATTCAAAATATGATGACATATTTTATATTTAAAGATAAAATAAATTTATAAAAAAATATCGTGTATGTGAGGACAGAGGGAGTGCTAAATTTCATGAACAATTAAAATTATAGGACAAAACAAGCTTCAAGCAATAAATGGGGGCAGATATTAGATAAGCAATTATTCATATTAAATAAAAATCATGAGTAATGTGACTTAATTTAAATGTTATAAGATGACTTTGATACTTTGATACGCATATTATATAATATATATAGCTAGTATTAGGTATATATATATAGCTAGTATTAGGGGTGAAAACCTTTCTTTTTTTCAGTTTTTGCACAGAAGCCATAGAGCAGTGTGCCCACAAGGACCAGCAAATTACTGTATATTCCAAAGCTACACTAACAGTGAGTTATTGCTCATTAATAAAAGATGTTACATGTTTACACTAAGTTCGACTTAGTTAGGTCAACCGATTTGGATTAAATTTCTTTATTATTAACAAATCTTTCTTTATGGAAAACTCTCCCCAAATATATGATGAGTAGCCTGGTTTAAGGACAGAAAAAAATGCTTGAAAATAATTTCACAAGTTAGGCCTTAATACTGTTGTCCAATCTCAGACATGTCAGTGACTTTTGAACAACAGCTCAGTATTGACGTTTTATCAATATCTTACAACCGCTTTTTATAAATATATTAAGTCCTTTTCTAATTGTTATGTATTAATTATAATTGGTAATCAATAGTCGTTAGTTTAAATGAATCTGGATAAGCTAAGTAGCTGACAAATGCGGAATCAAGAGAAAACAGTACCATATCCCTTAAGCAGCAGTCCTGGGGAGACCCCCTGATGGGATGATTTCGAAGTGGACTTGAGATGAGAGTGAAGAGAGAGAGAGACTTGTACAGATGAAACGACAAGAATGTCTACATCAGAAAAGAAGCATCGCAATTGAAATGGAACAGTTCATTGGAATGTGAGAGTCTGAGAGAGAGACATAAAATTGTGAAGAAGAGAATTTGAGAAGGATAAAATAGAAAAAGAAATCGAGAGAAAGGTAAATCAGTCAGGCTAACAGTAACGTAGAATATTTAAGGAGGGGAGTGAACGGGATTCTCTAGGGTTTGCTTTATAGCGAAGGTGATGTGAGAGAGGGTTTTGTCATTTTCTTTTAGGGTTGTACGAATATTAGATGACATGCATGTAATCGTATAGCTCATGGCATGACAGAGAAGGTTTTAATGGACTTTATTATCCAGGTACTTTTTGACAGTAACCCCCCACCACCCCCACCCCCCTTCTCTCTCTCTTCCCTTACCACCCCACACAGAAAAGAAAGGAAAGAGATTGAAATTGAACATCAAAATCAAACTATGGTAAACTCACTAAATTATTTGGGAAGACAAACAAAAGAATGAGAAAGCTCCCCTTTTTCTTTTGTTACTCCTGCCCCCAAACAAAACAGTCCCATTACAATTTAGGGAATGAAATTGCCAACACACAGAAAGCCAAAGGGGCAACAAGAAAGGAGAAGAAAACCCTGCAAAACCCACCACCCATAGCAATAGCACTGTGGTATTTTGCCTTTGTTTCTGCCATATTCAGGAGAAAGTTTCCTGCTTTTCAAGATGCCAAGGCCAGGCCCTCGACCTTACGAGTGCGTGAGGAGAGCTTGGCACAGCGAGAGGCACCAACCCATGAGAGGTTCCATCATTCAGCAGATTTTCAGGTTCTGGGTTGTCTCCGTTTTCGTTGCTTTCTGATTTTTTTTGCATGTTTCAGCTGCCCAAGTTTATGCATTTTATCGATTGCCCACCACGTGTTTGATTAGGGTCGTCAACGAGGCTCACAGCTCTGCGACTAAGAAGAACAAGGAATGGCAGGAGAAGCTTCCTACGGTTGTTCTCAAGGCAGAAGAAATCATGTACTCCAAAGCCAATTCGGAGGTTTTATGTTTAGAAAATGCGTTTAGATTGTTAGATCTTTTGCTGCATTGCATACTCCTTTCCTGAATTTTTCATAATTTGGCTGCTTAGGCAGAGTATTTGAATCCTGATACGCTCTGGAGCGCTTGAATGATGCCATTAACACTATCATACGGAGAGATGAGAGTACTGAAACGGGAGAGCTTTTGCCTCCGTGTGTTGAAGGTATTATTTTCCTTCTTGACATTTCTCCGGATCCAGTTCTCGAACGTTCTGAATCAGTTTTTATCAAAGTTGGGACTATGCCGTGTTAGATTTTTATGTCATTTGAAAACGAATGTTTACTAAATATTAGTAAATTTGAGCTCCTAGTGATGAATGTTCTCTTCTCAGCTGCACTTAACCTGGGCTGCAAACCTGTAAGAGCTTCAAGAAGCGAAAGGCACAATAACCCCAGAACTTACCTATCCCCAAGAGCGCAAGAACCAGCTCCTGGATCTCCTAAGACTGTTGTGGAACTACGCCCTCAGTTTTCAACTCTTCAGTCTGGCAATCCGTTAGACTTAGCAAAGTCTCAGGTTGCTGTTTCAGCACTTCCCATATCGGATTCTGGTAAGCTTGCGCAGCAAAATCATCGGTTGATGGGCTCATGTAACTATCCCTCCTCAGATACTTTTCCTGCTGCACGTCACCAACAATTGACAATGGAAACCAACCCATCTATGAATTTGGGTTCTGTTTATCCCTTGTATTATGGAACTCAGTATGAATCCAAACAACCTGGGCTAAAGATGACCACAGAAAACACATCATCTGATCAAATCTTTGTTGGCACACCGATTATCACGCCGATCCCAGAGCCAGCCAGTTTTGGTCAATTGCAAAAACTCTCCTATAGCAGATCCCAATATGCTGAGATTCAGGAGACGCCACCTGAGAGGGAATGTGATTTATCTTTGAGACTGGGTCTGAGTTTGCATCCGTGTTCCATAGAGACAAAAGTTCAGCACGTGAAACTGAAGATGTTGGCTGTGTTAGTTTAAGAAGTTCTCAGGAGGTCAACAAGTATAGTCATCTGTCTTTGCAGACAAATAAGGAGGTTTGCTTTTATCCTAAAGGGACGGGTTTCAATACCTTTGACTGCAGTTATACAAGATGCAATACAGAGGGTGAATATCAGAACTTGGAGGCAACTTCTCGGAAGCGCAAGGCTCCTTTATTTAACAATGAGGGGGATGATGGACAATTTTGCCGGCAGCTAGGAGTCCCATCCAACCAGATTCCTGAGAGAAGCCAGGGGCCAGGTTTGTAGACAGTCTTTTCCTGTTGTAGCATATATGCTTTTGCAATTCGAGATGATCTTAGATGCTGCTGAATCCACTTATGTAGACTCTCTATATATGTAGCCCTGTTTGTGAAAAATCTTAGAAGTTGACAATGAGTTGCCGAATGCATTGCCGCAAATGTGAATTGTAAATAAGACCTTATCTTTCTTTTTTAAATATCTTGTTAACTCACGATCAAGAGTGAAAATTGAAAAGATCATATTTAATGCATGGAAGGCGTATGACAGCTTAATATTGCAGATACGTTAGGGGCATGCCCTGTATTGTTTTTTCAGTCGCCAAGTAGTTATGGATTACCCTACGATTGAGTTATGTTGCCGATCGAAACATGATCAGCTCTAGCTGCAGATGACAATTTTTGAATGAAGGCATGAAAATTGCATCTGGAGGCAAATAAAACAGACCTAGTAGACATGAAAATGTTATGAAATTTTGATCTTATCCTTCTTATTCATCAAAAGCCCACCTTAAATAAATCGGTTGGGGGCACAATCGTTGGTCTTCTGCTGGGAAATCAGTAGGAGGAGATGAAGGGTTTGGTACTTAACCAATGTTAGAATTTTTTTTCCAGCTTGTGGCTATTCAATGTCCATGCCCAAACCTTGCTTTGGACCACAGGCAGTCAACAGCATCACTTGGTATTGACACTTAACATTCAGTCTGATTAAAGTATGTTTGATCAAGTCTGGTGGTTTTTAGACAATGTTTCAATGAATTGACAAGAACCTGAAATGGCTCATGAGGGATTAACTGCGTAGAGCTTTTGGTCCCAACATTTTGAGAATTGACTTTTTGTGTAAATATACTATTTGATAATTGAAAACGTATAGTCCTTAGATTTATTTTCTTATCCAAATTAGTCTCTCAAAATTTGTAACTTGTGACACACGTACTGAGATAATCCCTTAAAGTGGGATCAATTTACATTTGTTCTGAGGAATTAAAATGCAATGGGTATAATTTTACATTCGGAGGCCGCATTGTGAGTTGCATTAGCCTCTACAGCATTTTATTGAGTATGCTAAATGTGGCTGTATCTACGAAGAGCGGTGTCCTTCCTTGGTGGGGTTAAGAGCATTATGCATGTACCAGTACAGTTGACGACCCTTGATCAGTCTTTATCAAACAGAGAAAGACAATTAATTACGAGAGGGACAATAAATGTCGTTTTTGTCAATGGAGTAACTACTACTAACAATGGATCCAGGAGAGGCGTAAAAGGCAACGCTGAAGGATCGATACCCCATTTTGAAAATGGACCAATTTACATTCTCTGCGGAAGTATGCTGTCTTAAGAATTTAAGAGAAAGGGACAGTAAAACACATGGTTTTGTATAAAATCCATTTTTTTATTTTTTATTCATCTCTACTCTCTTTGGGTTGTGATTAGATGGTGTTGAAAATGGTCATGGTATGTGATACTGAAGCCAACTTCTTTCCAGTTTCATGAATCACAGTCAAGTGATCAACTGTTTTATCAAACTTGAGTTCTCAATCTTCCTTATAGCGGTACATCCATTAATGAAATTCGAAGAACACTGAACACATCAAAGAATTAGACATTAATTTAAAGGAAAATAGCAATCAAGATCACCAATTAAAATTTATATCAATTTAAAATCAGTTGTTAAAGTTTGAATGGATTGTTATCAATTTAAAATGAGTTATTAAAACTCGAATGTATACTTGTTGATAAAAGATTAACTTAAATGAATAAGTATCATTTGAGGTTTAACTTGACTAAAATAAATTTTGGTTAGTTGTTGTTATTTTCTCTTAATTCAACGAATACAAAGACCACTTCTGGTGTCTAATTATATGAATCACCATAAACCTAGATGCGGGTGAAGAAATAGACAGCAATGGTGGAGAGGAATGCAGACAAGGCAGAATTAATGGAAGGTGGTGTCGCTGAAGGAGAGGGACCAAAAGAGAATGGCTTCTCAACGTTGATGCTGAACTTCTGGCCTCTTGCACAGTGATTATCGACGGTGCTAATGAAGTAGCGAGGCCCTGGATGCAAGAGATCAACTGTAAACACTATCCTGCTCGGACCGTTGCCCGCGAATGGGTCCGTGTTGGTGCTGCAGCTGTTGTAATCGGCCATTGTTACATCGGCAAAATTCTGGTTTTCAGTCAAGTTGAACACTGATAGATTCAAGAGATAGAAAAGAAAAAACGTCAATAATCCGTACATATTACAAACATGTGGCGTTTTAACTTGCATGAAATGCAGTGTGTCCTGGTTTTATAAATCCTAAACACGAGCGGAAGACATCCATACGAGAGTCTAACATTTTCCGTGAAGTAACGTCAAGAAAAAGAGGTTGAAAATACATCTGCTTTGTCAGTCATCGTGTGACGGCTTTAATGTTCTGATACCTCAAACAAGATGCGTGGTGGTGAAATATTTTTAAATAGATATATATATATATATATATAGAAAGCATACCCAGTGAGTCGCCAACGAAGAAGGTCTTGGAGCTAGCCCAGTCTGAATAGAAGGTCTGATTCGGAGGGGTATTCCATCCAAAGCTGCCACCAACATTGTACTCTGTTGCCTCTGTTGCTGCAAATAATAAAGACAGTATGAACATGGAGCAACCTATCAAGCCAGTGTGTTTTGCCATTGTTCTTCTCTTTGTTGCGTAGTTGGTTGGTTATATCTTGAAACTCTGTTGAACGTTCAAGTTATGTTGCTGCTTCAAGATGAGGAGATTGAGAGGTTGCAGCAAACTATATATAGACGCGCGCGCGCGCGCGCGCACTCTAAGGTGCCATTTTTGAACGAGTCAGCATTTTTGGTTATAATTTTATTAGGTGCTGTAGATGAAACCCGGGTATTTTGACTATTCTTCTATTCAAAGACGTCTCTTTTTTGGCCGAAAAAGCGTTTCTTTTTTTTTAATCCCAAATTTTGTCATCATATGGGCAGTGCGACCAAATTTACTTGACCAGGTCGATTCTATTAACACATTGCTACATACAAATGCATTGAGTACGATAAACATCACATATTCATATCTTTTGTTCTGGTTTTATTTGAAGTTATTTATTGGGTCTGAGGACGTGAAGATGATTAAAGAAAGGAGAGAATGGCTTATCAGAACTACTGAAACAGGGTATTGACATCTAAGTGTTATAACAGGAACTGATTACACTGGAGTTTTTAGATCCTTTTTTGATATTAATTACGCTAGAGTTTATTGACAAGTTTCATGGAATAATTTACAACTTTGATTATAACTGATAATGATAATTGTAAGTTTAGCGGTAACAACTGCTTTTCATAAATAACAACTTGGTTTCAGTTATTAGATCTTAATGACAAATTCAGCATAATAAATAACAACTTTTATTATGAATAATGACAGCTACAATCTTAACCGTGACGCTTACTTTTCCTAAATTCAACTCTTGGGTTTTAAGGGTTAATAGTCACATGGGGCTGAGACTTCTGAGAAATTTTCTTGGAAAAATTCATTTTAGTTTGCAGCTGTACATGTCATAATAAGGTATCAAATTATATCAACGAGTGCTCATGCATGCCACTAATTTTCCGGTTCAGATTCAGACACCCAGCGGTAATAACTGCATGGAAATTGCGAAATCTGAAGACAACTTCCTATTTTCATCAATCAGAATCACAATCAAGTAATGTCAACTGCTTTATTGAACTTTTAAGTTCTCAAACTTCTCATAGCAGTACATCCATTATTGAAACTAGCCAGAAAAACGCTCAACATATGGAAGAATTAGACATTAATTTAACGAACATTACAAAGAACTCGTCTGGCCTCTAATTATCTGAATCACTATAAATCTAGATGCGGCTGAAGAAATAGACAGCCAAGGTGGAGAGACAGGCAGACAACATGCCATAAGACAGAATTGGAGCAGAATTAACGGGAGGAGGTTGAGCTGAAGGACCAGCAGAGAATGGCCACTCAACGTTGATACTGAATTTCTGGCCTCTTGCACAATGATCATCGACGGTGCAGATGTAGTAGTGAGGCCCTGGACGAACCAGAGTAATCCTAAACGCTGTCCCGCTCTCGGGACCGGTGAAGGAGCTCGCGGCGCTGCAGTTGTTGTAATCAGCCATTGTTACATCCGCCACGTTCTGGTTTCCAGTCCAGTTGAACACTGATTGATTCAGGAGAAAGAGAAGAAAAACATCAATATAATAATGCCGACGTATCATAAACATGCATGTAGTGTTGTGTGTCTTTGTTTTATAAGTCATAAACACGAGTGAAAAGCTTCCACACGAGTGTCTCTAACATTTTACATGAAAAAGTTGCAGTAAATAGATGCTTCGAGAGTCATCATTATTATGAAGGTTTTAATGTTTTTATAGATCAGAAACAAAATGAATGCTGGTGAAAGATCAAATTAAACTAATATAAAAGCATACCCAGTGAGTCTCCAACGAAGAAGGTCTTGGAGCTAGCCCATTCTGAATAGAAGGTCTGATTGGGAGGGATGTCCCAGCCAAAGCTGCCACCAACATTGTACTGTGTTGCCTCTGTTGCTGCAAATAATAAAGACAGTACAAGGATGAAGCAACCTATCAAGCTAGTGCGTTTGGCCATTCTTCTTTGTTACGTAGGTGTCTTGACTGTATCTTGAAACTGTTGTTCTCAAGTTTAGTTGCTGCTTAAGGCGATGGGTTGGGATATTGAGATTGCAGCTAACGACAACATATATATAGGTGTGGGATGGGGCTCCCTTGCTTATTGGGAACTTAGAATTGTCAATGATGATGAGGTACCATTTTTGAATTTAAGCATATTTGGTAAAACGGGATGAAGTTTATTACGCGCTGTAGATCAATGAGACACAGAGAGGCAACTTGACTATTCTTCTATTCCAAGGAGGCGGTCCTTTCTGTAATCCCATATTCATATGGGCAGTTCTGGTTTTATTTGAAGTTACTGGGTGTGAGGACTGAGGAGAAGGTGATGATTAATTTAAAAAAAAAAAGGTTCAACCAGATATTTTTTTGTTTGGTTACATACTAGCGGGAATGATTTAATTATTAAAAAAAATGAGAACAGATAATTGAATTCCGTGCTGAATAAAAAAAAAAAAACTTGAACTTGGAGTCTATAGTTTAATTATAGGAATATGGGAAGGAGGGGTCACATGATAATGCCGTTGTTGTTTGGGAAATCGAGCTGGTTGCTTCTTTGAACTAATTAACGCAGATAAAATTGAAGATGAAAAAGGCCATGGCAAGGCGGCGATTTTAAGGGCACCCAAGACTTTTGAAAATGGTCAATGTTTGGAATGTTAAGATCTATGATCAAACGTTTTAGAGAGGCGATGGGAATGCTATTCCGTTTCAAAAGTCTAGTATAGGTTGTGAATCATGGTTAGGGGTTTTTTGGAGGTTCAATCTTGACTTTCTTTTCTTTCTTTTTTTTTTTTTGGTGGGCGCCAAACATGTCAATCCTTACGAGTGATTGACTTTCCCCTGGCCGTAACTTAAAATGCACCTGGGCTGTGGACAAGTCAATCATTATAGCCGCATTTATTATTGATTCTATTTTTATGATAGAAAGAAGATACATTTTATTTTTATCATTTTTTATGTTTATTTTCACCTTTTTTCTCTTATTAAATTTTAATTTTTTTATTAAAAATAATTTTTTTGTCAAGGTAGACATAAAAATTTATTAAATTTTAATATAGTTAATGAAATTTAATTTTTTTTAATTTTGATGAAACATAATAAAAATAATTTATAAATATAATCAAAGAACATATTTATATAGTTTAGTTTTATATCGATACATTTTGTCTATAACGGAACTTGTTATAAATTTTATTATGTATGCATATATATTGTTAGGATTAGTTTCTATTCACATTCTCATCCCTAATTTTTCAAATTAGTTTAGTAGCATTATTTAGGCTGCTAGAAAGATCAAGACAAGTTTTATTTCTAAAGATGGGGAGGTTGCTTTTGAACAATTTTTTTTTTTGGTAAAAGCTTTCAAACATATTTTAGATAAGCTAATTGCTTCAACGGCTAACTCTTCCGTTTCAGTCATACTCTTCTAGTCTAATTTATAAGTCATTTTTAATATATTTCATTAGTATCAAAAAAATTTTTTAAACTTATTAACTCTATCTTAAAATTTAATAAATTTTTAACTTTACTTCTATTAAATATACATATTTTAATAACATATTATTTCTCTCCAATATTTTATGGAGGGTAAAAAAGAAATTTATAATAAAAATTTAATGTAACTTATAAATAGGATTAAAATTTTTTTTTCTCTCTACCCTATAAATAAAATTGAAGGGAGTAATATGGATAAAGATTCTTGCAAATGGTTTTGAATTTTGTTATATATATATTGAAAAAAATGCTATACTTAACTGAAGCAAGAAGGTAATTTTCCTGGCTCATTTGGGAAAGAAGCAAAGTAGAACACTAAATCAAGAGGGAATACAAATACTTTTTGGTCTGTCGAGGATCAAAACATTTCTTATTGAACATTATGGTTCGTATTTTTTTATTATTCATAAATATTTTATTATTGAAAGCAATCATATTCAATACACAGTAAAATATTAAATATATACAATTTTTGATATATTTGAACATGTGATATGACATCCAAAAAAAAAAATTTGGTGCACTAATTTGGCAGCATTAATGTTAAAATAACCATGGTTTGAAACTAAAAAGTCACCTCACACGTAGGATCATATGTAAGTGTAATAAGCATGAGATATTTCACAACACCCAAATACATTTTAATATTCGCATCATTAACCTCTTGTAAAAAAATGTTCCCGAACAACTTAGTAATGTATGAGCAGTCAATTTTTTTTTTAATTTCTTACTGTCAATATTTTTAATCTAATATTGGAATATTTGTCTAAAATGGTGGGTTTTCAATAGAGCCGTCAATTACGGGCTCGGCCCTTTTAGGCCCGAAAAAATTGAGGGCCGGGCTTTTATTTTATCTTTAAAAAAATAAATCGGGTCTAAAAGGGCAGTCTTTTAGGCCAGAAAATAAAAGGGCCGGCCTTTTTAGGCTCGTTTATAATTTTTTTTAAAATTATAATATAAAAAAATAAAAGATTAAATACATAATTCAAAGAAATAAATATATTAAATGCATTCATCCATCCGTTATTTATTTATTAAAATTTAACTGATAATATTAGCTAAGTTTAATTTTTATTGATATTCACTTTGATGTTACTATTTGATATTATACCTAAATATTTTAGTTTTCTTTATTGTTGTGGTGTAAATTAATTTAAACTTATTTTCTTAAACCTAATTTGATGAATAATAACTTTTTTTATGATTATAAATATATATTTTATAATTTTTAATTGAAAAAATAATTTTAAAAAAATAGAGCCGAAGCCCTGAGGGCCGGGCCTTGAAAAATAGAATCCTGACATGTAATCGAATTTATTAGGATTAGCCCGTTTAGGCCTTGACCCTTCAAGGACCGGCCCTTTAAAATCAGGCTAGTCCTAATTGACAGCTCTAGTTTTCAAGACTCAGAAAACTGTCTTTCTTTGTGTACACATTTTCAAATTTGATCATAATCATCATATCACAACAGATCAAGCCCAATGAAAGTACGTATAAAAAGCACAGCCCAAGACTCAAGGCCCTTTAGTGATTTGAGTCAATTCCGAAACACTGAAATCACCCAATTAAAAAAAAAAAAAAAAAAAGAGGACTCCTGGATTCAGAATTTCTGCTCAGATTCACCGGAACTCAATTGCACAGCTGGCTAAGCCTTTACGCATTACTTGCAATTGATTGCTGATATCTGCTTGCTTGTTTAAATCTACTGACAAGCACTCCACACAGAACATCTTGATTCTACTCAATTTGGTCGCATGTTTTAAGAGAAAGCTAAGCAATTGCATCTCAGCCACCTCACCAAAAAAATTCCAAATGCTAACCAGTTTCAGACTAGACTTTAAACAATGAGGCACTGTGCTCAACGTCCAAGCTTCCCCATCCAAGCAGAAAGCAGGGTCGAATCCCTAAGTATAGAGCCAACAAACAAGTTCATGAACGGAAATTACACTATTTTTAGCCTAGAAACATATCAAATTCATAATAACACAGGATATACATCAACAATGTCAAGAACTTCCAGATTAGGAGACTTTTCAAGAATGTCCATCAGAGCTCCGCCAGTGAAGTCATACATTCCTTGATCCACACTAAAATGAATCAAATTATGGAATGTAGGAAGGCGCATAAGGAGATTTTCTGCGCGTGAAAGAATCTACGAAATAAAATAAAAACAGTTGATTACTGTCATTCAAAGGAAACTTGAAACATCATTGGAGAACCTATTTAAAGCAATATTGTTCATAGCTCCCACATGAACATTAAAGTGAATGGAGGGGGATTGTATCATTGTAGACATACCTCAAGAGTATCTTTTGAGAGTACGAGAGACTTGACATGACAGATTCCACTTAAAAGTTCTACCGCCCGAGAAATAGTATATTGTGCCAAGGATGAACAGCCATTTGAGACATCAATGTATGCATAAGCCAAGGTAGTTAAGTTAATTAGGATAAATTCCATCCTCAAATAGTTTGTGCAACTTAAAGAAACAAGATTTACGGCATCGACTGTAACTTTTCAATTGAGTAAATCATCTCGACTAAAGTCGTCCTCAATGATTAAGGTTGTCAAGGTCGGAATTTTTATGCTGACATTCCTGACTTTCTTCCAGTCACAACTACACAAGGTCAGCTTTTGGAGCACTGGGCAGCTAGAGAAAAGTTGTTGGGCGGATGTTTTGTGTATGAAGGTTATGTATTGAAGTGTCAGGGTCTTCAAGCTTGGGAAATGGATGCAACTAGGGACTTTTAAGACACATCCAAACTCCAGATTCATCATACTCAATGAGGTAGGGACTGGCAAGGTATTGGCTAGCGGAAAGGAAGATCTTAGATATAAGGACAGCTCCAGCTCGGAATTTTATGCTTTAGCAAAGCAAAGATCCAAGAATTAGCTTGGTCGACATCAACAGGAATTCCATATGCCACAAAACGAAACTTTTTTATAAATTTGGCTTTTTCAAGTATTGTGTCTACTTGATTGAAAAGGTAATTTATCATCTGCTTTTGAGTTTCGTTCTTTTGGGAACTTGACAGCATGACTTCAATATTAAAGTCAGATAAGTATGTCCATAAGAACTTCCACCTTCTTGCTAATACGGAGGTTCGAATAGCATCTATGGTTGAGAGAAAAGAAAGAATGTGATGAAGAAGGCTATCGGGTAATTTGCTGATCACATCTTTTTTGTCAATCACATCATGTCTGCAAAGGTTACAGGAATCAGGTGACGTCACTAAATTGTCCATGATTCTTTTTCCTACTATCACCACTCCTGAGAAAATAGTATATGAAATATGTCAGTAATCAGTATGATACATTTAAAGCGATGAATGGAATAAAAGAGCGGCAGCTGAATAGAAGTAATGAGAAGCTGAGATCAGAAGCCAGCTTCCCCTTAATGGACAAAATTGAAGTATGGCTTTCAGGTTGATGGTAAATCCATACATTAATAAATTATAACGCATTGGCAGTTACATGTACATCAAGATATTTTATTACAAGTACATTCAGGGCTTATCCACCATTAAATGTAACAATCTAGAAAATTAAACTGGTCGGAATCTACTTGTTTAGTCAAAGGGAGTACCATTATTTGATTATGGAGTTTCAGACAAGTGCCTAACACTCCAATATAAAAACATTAAACGTAATCAGATTCATAACCTAGATGTTAAGGAATGTCGACACCACGGCTTTCACTACAAATTTTCATCTCCAAAAGTTTCATGCAAACGACGCAAGTACAAATATTATATTTGGAGTTGAATCATAATGAAGAAGCAGAACTTCATCAACGCCCCCTTTCTTATTTATATGATTAAAATCTAATCAACACTAAGGCATTAAGAGAAGGGACCATAAAAAGGGAAAAGCACCCAAAAAAAAAAAACGAAGAACATCAATGCGAGAAATCATACCGTCAGGATAACAATGAAACGTACCTTGCCATTTAACAGTAAGAACGCACAAACTAATTGCATTTTGCTGTAACATTCGAGCGATGAATGAAAATTGTGATGGGCGCAAAAAATTATTATGATCTAACAGAGAATAGTCCAATTTGTACGCCAATTTCTAGTACACTACCGATTGATTTGGGGAGCGTAACTCAATAAAGTATTTCTACGAAGCTATGAAATAATCGAATATATGGAGCGCTAAAGGACTTAACCACGAAATTTCGAGTCAAACAGAGGGCTAAGGCTACGAACCTGAGAGAGTGACGATGGAGGAGGAGTAACGCAGGTCGGGGCAGATTGAGTAGTCCGATTAGGATTGGAAAGGGAGGGAAAGGGAGTGGGAAAAGGCGGGGAATACCATTGTAATTTTTTTTGACACTCCATCTGTTCTTGGGCTGGGCCTTTAGTGGCTTTTTTGTTTTTGGTTATCCAAAGTATTCATCACCGATAGCAGTGATTAATCCCTTCGCCACAGAGTTTTTCATAAAGGGACAAATAACTAGTTATAGAATGCTCTCCATTTACATGAATAAGGAATCAAACCCTCCACCACATGTTTAAGGGACGAAGCGAGATAGTCACTATGCCACACTCACATGATTAGCCTTTAGTGACTTTCTTGTGTTTCATATCCTATCAGCTCTTTTTTTCTTTTTTCTTTTTTTGCTTCAAACGTGTATGGGCTATGGACTATGGCTTTTTTTTATAAAATTTTATATTTTGTGTCATGTTTTGGGAGCGATAGACAAAATATGTGCAACTCACTCCCATTTGAGAATATGTATGAGGCTTGCTTGAGAATATCCACTTCCATATGTAATTTACTCCCATTTTGCGTCATAAAATGTGTGTATGGACTATGGCTTTAGGCACCTTTTTTTTTAGGCAGTGTTCACTGATCAAGTTGCATGGTTATCACTATCATGTATATTTCTCTCGCGTGTTGAATGTAAGATTTTTTTGGCCAAAAAAAAAAAGTTGTGATTTTTTTTTAAAAGATGTGATTTTTTTTTTTTTAAGGTCTTTCACCTCAGAGCTGAGATCTATAAGAACTTGTAGCAAAATGTAATCAGACATACGTATTATATATAGCTGCTCATATCTGGTAATATGTGTTAAAGAGCAAAACTCACTCATGAGGCATCGATTTACACTAATGAGTTTGCATGTCATTATTTTTTGGGTTCAAGTTTAGTGAATTGAGGACTTTAAAATTGCATGCAAATTTCAAATTCTGAAGTAGTTCTTCTCTCTCTCTCGCTATCCTCAAGAATCACAACCAACTGCTTTATTTAACATAACATAATATTCTCAAACTATACATACACCCACGTGGCAGCACATCCATTATTTGTTGAAATAAACTATAAAATATATAACCTAAATGCGGGTGAAGAAATTAAATAGACAGCCATAGTCTAATTAACTGGAGAGAAATACTGAGAGCTAATTAGACCCCAAAAGATGGAGACGGAGCAGAAGAATAAGATGGTGGTCGAGCTGAAGGAGAAGGACCGGAAGAGAATGGCCACTCAACGTTGATACTGAACTTCTGGCCTCTTGCACAGTGATCGTCGACGGTGCAGATGAAGTAGCGAGGCCCAGGATACAACAGAGTAATCATAAACACCGTCCTGTTCGGACTTCCGGTGAACGTGATCGCGTCGGTGCTGCAGTTGTTGTAATCCGCCATTGGTACATCAGCCACGTTCTGGTTTCCAGTCCAGTTGAACACTGATCCATTCACCACAAACACCAGAAGAACACATCATTTAATGATTAATTATTACTATCATGGAACCACCGCCACATGATCAAAGAATCTATGCGTGTATAAAACCGCAGTGAGCATGCCATCTAATCCAACTTATTGAAGTCAAATTAATATGAAGTAATTAAGTCATAACCTTTATTTTAAAATTAAAAAATTATCATTTTTTCCGTATTTAAACCCATGCATTATATATTGAAAAGAGAATGCTGAAAAAATTTAAAATTTACGTTAGATTCTTTCTTATAGTTAATGATTTTCAAGGATAATATAAAAAATCTAGTTACTAGCTAGTACTTGATTATAATAAGAATCATGCATGTACTTCTTTTAATGTTAAGATGTCTTGTGATAAAAATAGAGCATAGAAGAAAGTAACGGTGTTGGGATTTGGGCGTCTGCTGCCCTTCTAATGTCCAAAATCTCAGCCTTTCATTTAAGAAATTAGATGAAATTTTTCTGACCATTAAATGAAATGGAGAGCTGAGATTTTAAGCGTTAAAGGACAGTGAAAAAGACGACGCACTTCAAATCCAATGTGTTGTATGCTTTTAGCAATTTAGAAGTCTATATACCCATACTAATATGAAGTGCCCTGTACACTTGTCTACTAACATGGTTCATGAAGTACATGATCGTCATTTTAAAAATAAAAATTAGTAAATATAGGCTGCTAGCTAGAAAAGAAAGAATGCTGGAAAAAGATAAATAAATAAACATGAAGCATACCAAGAGTGTCTCCAACGATGAAGGTCTTGGAGCTAGCCCAGTCTGAATAGAAGGTCTCATTGGGAGGGACGCTCCAGCCAAATCTGTCGCCAACGTTGTATCGTGCCGCCTCGGATGCTGCAAATAATAAAGACAGCACAACGACGATGGAGCAGCCTATCAAACCCATGTGCTTGGCCATTGTTTAGCAATCTTTGTTGCGCAGGTTGTCGGTTGTTTCTTGAAACTCTGATGTGGTTCTAATTTTCAGGTTCAAGACGATGAGATTGTGAGCTTGGAGCAAACAACATATATAAAGGATCAGGGTACCATTGTTGAACGAGTTTAATTTCTGCCTGCTTAGTAATTAATCGGGTTAATTCATTTTGGATTTTTTTTTTGGGTCCGATATTTTCGGGTTCTATAAATTATTCATGGCACTGGGCATTTTGATTGTTCTTCTATTCTAGAAGACGTTCTTCTATATTCTATTTATATTTTGTAATCTAGGAAGTACGACCAATTGTACCATTCATTTCAGAAGATTCTATCAAACGCATTGCTTTCAAATGCATTTTGAGTTGATATAAATCACAGATGTTCATTTAATTTGTCTTTTGTTCGACTTTTATTTGAAGCTATTAGGCGCGTAGAGAGGTGAATATGACTTGACCATAAAAAATGAGAGCTAGAGTTGAATTGCAAAAACATTTTGAACCTAATAGTGTACATTTCATTTTTATAATATGTGTAAGGGACAAGTAAAACAACATAACACCGCGTGGTTTACAAGTTCGAGGTTGCTTCTTTGACAGCAACACTGAGAAATTTGATAATGTACAAGTTTAACACGAGAACATGACAACCAAGACTTTTGAAATTTATCAACGTCAGGATATTAACGCGAATTGTGATTTAAGATTTTAGATAGCTAGTGTGGAAGCTAATCTGTTTTTTTTTTTTTCGGTTAATATAATTCTTTCTTTTTTTTTCTTGCCTGGGTCAAACAAGTTAACCTCTACGATTCCATGGCTATAGGTTAAAATTAGACTATGTTAACCTCTGGCTTCTGCGACTCTTTTTTTTCTTCTTTATAAATATATGTTCATAAAGATGAAAATTGTAATATGCTTTCCTTGAACTTTCTTTGTGAAATTTTTATTATTGTTTAGAATTGAGTGGTGATTCATATGACCTGAAAAAATTAATTTATTGATGACTTGGTTTGTATTATCGGAGAAAGAATAAACGGGCAAATACCCAACAATCTTTTTTAAAAAGAAAACTAAGAAATATTTTATGTTAATGTATAATTTAATGTTTCCTTGATTTCTTTCTTTGTCTGTAACGTCTTATTTCCTTTTCTTTTTTTTGTCATGTAACGTCTTATTCTAAATCATATATTATAATGATAAAAAACTAAAAACAAAATTTTTCGCATACATTCGTAGCTATATTGCAAAGAAAAATCTTCTCTTTTTTAAAACAATTTTTAATTAGATTCCTGTATTTAATCAAGTCTTCATAGTTTGATAGATTAAATATATTAATCTTTGAAGGTTAAAATTATTTATAAATTATTATTTTTTAAAACAAATATTCTTTTAAAATTTATAAAAAATTGATTTAATATTTTTAGTTAAAAAATTGATTTAATACAATGATTATATTTTTACTAATTTTTATGAAAAGTAAGTGTGTGTGTGTGTAAGATATTCAAAAAAAACATAATCTAACTGCATAAATTCTGAGTAATAAAAAATATGTAATTTATTACGGAGATATAGGATCTTTTAATAAAAACATAAAAAATTTTAATTTCATTTTATAAAAGAAAAATTTCATAGACTTTAATATTTAGATATTAATATATTTAATCAATCAAACTGTAAGGACTTAATTAAAACAAGGTCAAATTTGAAATAAAAAAATAGAAAGACCTGCAATTTAATTTTTTCTTTAAAAAAAAAAGTTAAAAGCAAAAGTCGTCATTTGGACGTTCATACGAGAATGGCCTAATAAGGTATTAAGCCCAATGGACATGTTCTTCAGACTAAGCGACTCGGGGGAGGATTTATAGCCCATTTAACTCTAGTCCTTTTTAACCTATTTTTTTTTTCCAATTTAGTTTTTTAAAAAATATAGACACAAAATATGCGAAATTTACTAAGTTGATATGGATCATGTTTATTTAATTTTTTGGTTGAATGCCTTCGGATTTTCTAAAGTTCGATTGATTTTAATTTAAATTGGATTGTAATTCAACTGGGTGTAAAATTTTCTTTATGATAATTTTATTTGTAAAATTCAAACTTCAACGGTATTAATTATTAATTAGTCAGTATTAAATTATAAGACTTAGTTAAGCTCTTTTCAACGTTTAAAAAGAGAAAGATGGTTTCCTTCGCATAATTTGAAATGGGAATAAGAAAGCATAATTTTTTTTTTTTACTTCCCCCCACCCCCTCTAATATAAGATCAGGTGATGAGATTTGTGTCTTACATTTTAGGATTAAAATTTCCTACGTTGAGGACAGAAAAGGATAATACCCAAACTTAAACTTATAGGTGCCCATCATATTTAATTATCAGCGATAAATTATTAATTAATGAGAAAAAGTGAAAATATCAATATGTATAACTTCGAGAAACAACCTTATATTCTATGTTGGATATTTAAGGACGATAACGATAACGAATAGTTGAAAGGATTTTTAAAAAAAAAAAAAACAGAGAGAGAGAGAAGAATTTGTCGACAATAAAACGATGTGCGATAGTGAAAAGCGAAGAAATAAAGGCAATAGATGCCTCCCTGAAGTTTGAAAATCAGAAAAGGAGGAAGATTTGGCATTAGGATGGAATCAATCAAAGCATGGCATTTGGATTTTGGTATGATCAAGTAAAGAAATTACACCCTCCCTAATAGCCAATAGGCGTAGCTTTTAAAATTAGCATCAAAACTAAGGTCCATAAGGTATGATTTTCCCCAAAGAAAAATCGCACGAGGCATGTGTTGGAAAATGAAGTCGATGATGTGTCCTTATATCCTTTCCTTGATTATAATTATAATTTTAATTCGCTTGCACCTCCATGTTTTTTTTTTAAAAAAAAACTCAACTACCCTTAACTTCATACCTTAGGTATTTAATAATTATGCAGATTTCAATTGCTAACGCCAACTCGCAGGATTTTCTTCCCAAGTTTTAACATATAAAAGTCAATAGGTCGTCCTCAAAGAGATTGTGATGATCAAGCCATCGATGAAAACCAATGTTAACATGATCATTAGAACAGAGAAAATACCGCTTGTCTTCAAGTGATCAGCCTGATTGATGATATATTAAGCATATGATTTCAAGAGATTGGAATTTTATTTCGGATCGTCGACAAAGGGAAGCCAAAATAAATATGTCGATTGATCTGTCAAGTCTCTATTCAAAATCTCCATGTTAATATTTTGGACTTCATCAAACTTTCTTTGGGTTTTGATGTTATTATGAACTATATAGATCATTCAATGCATTCTCTTTTTTTTTTTAAAAAAATCTTTATGTAATGTTTAATAGGAAAAAAAGAACTTTTTTTTTTAAATGAGACATTCATCTATCTCATTTTCTTATTAAATATATTTTTATTTTTTCTCATTTTTCATCGTCATATGTGTTGACTATCTAGAAGAATCTAGAGAGAGAAGCCCTCACTTTTGATTACCTTCTCCCTCTTCTATTTATATGCACGCTGCATGTTTCTTTAAAAATTATTGTTATAATTTTATTAATTATAAATAAATATAATTTTTTCTCTATATAGCTAGATTAAAATATGCCTTTTTAGTTAGATCAAAAGAGTTTAAAACTATTTACCCAAAAAATTTAAACTAAACACTTATTATATTCTAGCTACCTTTATGTTACAAGTCATTACTTTCTCTCTAAAAAAATTAGTTTATAAAATGTGCAACATATCTGCTTATATGGTGAGGATTTTCTCCAAGTCCCTTCAATGTGAGACGTAACAACTTCTCAAGCTAATTCGTGGTGCCCTTGTCATTAGTAGCCCACTAGAGAAACTCACTGATTGGGCAAATTTGACTCTGATAATACTTTATCATTGAGCTATTATTCTCTTTTCAAAAAGCTAGCTTATTTGGATGTACAGTGCACTTGCTTATATAATTAGAATCCTTTCAAATTCTTTTCAATGTGGGATATAACATTAGGCTCTCACCTTGTCAAAACTAAAATATTATTAATACTAACATCAAGTTTTATGTAAATTCAGAATCATTGATATAGGTTTTAACAATTCAATTAGTACAGGAGTGCTTATACTAAACACAGTTATTGAATTCAAATTCATTTAAAATATAGTGCGCAAACGCGTACGCATAGGCATGGTGAAAGTTTTTACAGAAGATAATCATCAATACAATGAAAAAATTAACTCTGTTATCTATAATATGTAGAATCACAGGATTTATTACATCTACGATAAGGAGGAGTAGCCAATCTGGCCTATTCAAAATCCAAACACACATCATAGTAACAATAAATTATAATCAAATGACGAATCCAATGAATGGATCTAAAATCTCACTGTAAGTAAATGCAACAACTATATAGTATACATATGTGATCTCACCTGATATAAACGCAGAAAACAAAAAGAAACCTCCACGTGTCAAATAATCTGTAATTCTGTGGTATCACCAATCAATATCAAAAGTGGAAGAAAGCCAAGGCAATGACTACGAAGGCTGGCATATATGCGGAGACAACCCTAGTGGCTGAGCTTCCTGGAGTAGACGGAGGCATAGCACCTTCAGGAGAGAAAGCAGACCCAGAGGAGGAGGAAGAAGAAGAAGAAGTATTGGAAGTGACGTTAATGGCTAGCTTCTGTCCCAAGGCACAGTGATCAAGGTATGTGCTCGTGTAGAAATGCTCCCCCGTTGTGTTCAACACGATCCTCACCGGACTACTCGAGTAAACTGCTATGCTGCTATTTGTCTGACATTTCTCATAATCTTCCTTCCTCACCTCTGCAACATCTTGGGTTCCATTGATGAACAAGAACTCTGCAGCGCAAAACATTGATTACTTCACCAGTGACGTTCATAAGATATATATTGTGGTTATTATATATATATATATATATAGGTTGAACTATCTACCAAGGGCGTCTCCGATTCTGAAAGTTTTAGTGCGAGCCCAAGATTTGTAGACGATTTCACCACCTGGAGGAACGATCCATCCCAAGTCGCCGCCGACGGTGAAGTTTCGTGGTCCTCGGGGTTTGGGCTGGGAGCTCGGCGATGGTCCAGAAGCTAACACGTGTACTGCTAGCTTTTGACCTGACTCGCAGTGCCTGTCTAATGTGCTCGTGAAGTAGAAATCTCCCGTACTGTTCAACGTGAAATTCGCAGGGTTCGTCTTCTTCACTTCGATGGGGTTAGTCGTGTTGCATCTCAAGAACGCCTCTCTAGTCACTCGTGCCACGTCTTGGTCCCCGTTCGTGAAGTTGAACACTAAGAAAAAAAAAGGCAAGGATTAATTCATTCATTCATTCGAAGTTTGTTTTCTCGGGAAACAAACAGAAAATTGTAGGGATAGTTACCGAGGATGTCTCCGACAATGAAGATGTGCGAGGCGGCCCAAGCATCATAGGGTGCAGGGCCTGCCGGAGGAATCGTCCACCCCAATCTGCCTCCGACGACGAGCACTTGCTGGGATGCTACGGTTTCTGAGAAAGAAAACAACGATAAAGCGAGAACAGCCACTCGGATCATCGTCATCTTCATGCTTCTCGCCATTATGCTTGTCTTCTTTCTTCTTAAAGATCTCTTTCACTGCTGATACAAGCCATGCGCCACTTTATATAAGCCCAGAAGAAACACAGATATTAGCATAGTATAATTAATTATTCTGTAAATGTTAAATTATCCTCATGTTTCTCAAAGCTCTACCCAATCTTTATGTTCTGAAAGTTATTTATTTGATCTTTCATAATTTTATAAATTTTAAATTCAGTAATACGTACTATCATGCCAAAAAAACAATTCAGGATGTTGGATTTTGCTAACATGACAATTAACAGAGGTGTTATTTAGTGCCTATAACCTCAAATACCATAATAAAAAAAAAATATACTTGACTCATTGCCAAGGTGGTGTTGGTTTAATTTGTAAATTTTAATCCACATCATCATCTATCTTTGTTTGCTTTGTCATTGAATTAATTTTCAAAATATCAAAATCACGCACAAGCATAAAGCACAATAATTTAGCACAGAGTAAATTCCAATATCATGTTAATTTATTGATACCAACTATAGCCTTAAAGGAGTAAATAATTATTTTTAAGTCAATAAATTGTCTTTGAAGAGGCCTTTGTATATTGTGAGAACTGAAATTAGGAATGCAAAATAAGACACCAATGATAACCGAGTCCAGTGCAAGAAAATTGACACTCTAGATGAGATCTCAACTTCAAATCTCTTATAGGAATTATAGGAGAGTTACCTCCTCTTTTGGTGCCAATAATGTTTGCATTCATATTAGTCTAATGTCAAACTCTAGACAATTTTACTAAAAAGATATAAAATATAACTATACTGTAATAATAAAATTCAAGAAAAATTGTATGAAATTTGAAAAATAGAATAAATTAATATTGCCATGTAATTGTAATAAAAAATTGTTTATGAATTGAGTTTACTTTTGTTTTTGACAAATTGCTGCTTGATAGCTGCCTATTGTGGAAAAACAAGGCTGATATTGACACAAAATTTGAATAGGATAAAAAAATGGTTTATTGTCTATTATTTATCAAGTCTTCAACCCTTCATCAAGATTCAAGGGTCTGGAAGTTCCACATATTTCAACAGAGTACACTACAAAACTGCAAAATATTATGTCAGTGTACTAATTATTTATTTAGATTTTCAAATGCCGTGTGCAGACCCTTTCTCTGCATGCGTCCAACTTGTTTTGTTGTTCTTGTGAAATGTCGTCTTCCAATTTTAATTTATTAATCTCAGATCAGATTAATTTCTTAATGACTTATTGCTGTACTTCTCAGAAGCTTCTTCGTTTTATTTTATCATCCGAGGAGCGGGTTACGCGGGTGTGTACCCATAAATTAAAGTTCTCACAAACAAATTGATGAGGATGATGATTACTTGCTAAGCAATTCGTCCACGTTCTACTGGAAAGAACATTCTGTGGAGAGATACAAAAAGCATTCACAAGTTCAACGGAAGAATTCCACTTTAGTAATTTTTTTTAAGGGTTGTTAATGATATCAATCGTCGTATTTTTACTAAATAAAATTATCATGTTTCAACTGAAAACCTACTGAAAAAGTATTACATAGTTTTTTTAAAAATTATAGTATTCATTGACAAACAGCAATCTCAAATTGTCAATACCCACGTATTCACAGATTTGAGTATATGTAATGCATTACACGAGGATAGTAAAATTAAATAATAGGATTTTAGGTTCGACACATACAGCTCATTAAATAAAAGTACCCAAAGCATCCTAAAATATCTGTGAAGCTACCATTGGTAAAAATGATGCCACACAGCGGTGGTTTAAATTACTTTGGGCTAGTAACGATAATACCTTCAAGCTTTTTAAGATAAATGATAATGGAATTAAAAAAAAAAACAAATTTATTTCAGTTTTACATAAAGTCAACGACTTAATTATCTCTTTTTAATTTTGATAAAGTGATTAGAGATATATTATAATAGTAGATACTGTAAGAGGGATGGATAAAGAGCTTTACTTCAATTAATTACCTGTGAAATTGGAAGATGTGATTTAAATCTTTAAGGGGCAAGCAGGAAAGGCCAAGATAGAGGAAAACCAAAATGTGATGAAGTACAACTTTAAAGTCAATGTTCGAAAATGGTGGCCTGTCCACGTAATTATCTCTTGTATTTTGTACGCGCAGCCATAACTTCAAAAAAGCTTTCCACAATACAATTTAACATTAATTCACATTTTTTGATAGGTCACAACAACTTCCACTGGTTGGCACATCAATTTTAGAACAGACGTGTATGTCAACAGTTGTATCCTTACGACTTGTACAGTAGTGCTCCTGCGAATAATTTCGCTTTCAGATTATATTGCCACTACACATACACACGAAAACTACATTTTTTGGGGATAATAAGTGGAAATTATCATATTGCCTGATTTGTAACAAATGCATGACATCAGTGCCGTGAGAGGGTTGAGTTATAATCTGAACCAGTACTTCTAGAACCTGAGGTGTCTTGGACTTCATATTTGCTTTTATATGCAGATTGTTCGAATAGAAACTTGCATTTAATTGTGTTCAACGCATTTGTTAACCAACAACTTGAAGTGGATCTCAGCTTCTCTGATTTCCAAAAATCTTGACATATTTTCAAATGTCTTAAATATAGGAACTAGTTAAAGAACTTGATTTGATATTCAATATAAAACCTCAATCTACGTTCATAGGACTTTGCTAAAAGACCAGAACTCTTGGGGGGTGAAAACAAGGCATTTAGTTACCTGCAATAATTCAAACTCAACAAATCCATATAGCTTTAAAACATAAGACTGTAGTACAACGTTCCTGAATTTGGGTCCTACCTTTGTTAAGCAAATTGCTTATTGTAATTGAATCAGTGCACAGGTCACAGACCTTTTAAAGACATGACAGCTTCAGCCAATATATATGTGCCATTAAGATTAAGAGCTTCTCCTAAAACAACAAAAATTTAAGGACATACTCATGTCACCTTGAAAATGAATAATAATTTTTAAAAAAAAATCTGAATCTGGCTGATAAAACTTTCTGATTTGGTCATATATGAGAAGGCAACAGACCATCAATTCATTATAAAGCATCACGGTTGAATAGTTATCCATGCACTAATATTATTTGAAATGCAATTAAAACTGATGAACTATACGAGAAGTAAGAAAATTAAGAAGGAAAATTTTCTCAAGAGAAAAATAATTACAGATTTCCTGAGTAGGAACAAAATTCTTCATTGCTAGAAATTACTTTATGAAATACAATCAATTACATAAGATGGTATGATTTTGATCTGCAGGGTGGAATAAAAACCAGCCGAACCCCCAAAACCCATTTATTATCGTGAGAAATGAGAGAGAGAGAGAGAGAGAGGTTGATGCTGTTAGATCTCTAACTCCAGAACAGGAGTAGTACCAAAGTTGAGAGAAATAATACCCTGGCGTAGGATCTAGACAAACCTTGAGCATAAATATTCTGCCAATGAGAAAGCAAAGAGAAACCAATAAATATAGCATGAAGAGGATGCATATATATATATATATATATATATGTATGTATGTATGTATGTATATGTATATATGTATACCAGTTGATGAAAAATTAAAACTGCATGCACTGTGTATGCATGATGAATCCTCAATTGATTAAGAAACATGAGTCTTTTTATCACCATATAAACTGGGAGCAACCTGCCACCTATCCCTTGATTGAAACATATATCAGTTGACTTGATATAGTGAAGTTGAAAAAAAAGAAGAATATCATCTGTAAAAAGATAAAAGTGCATTTTTAAGTGACAGCATCCTTCAGCAATTGGACGTTAGTTTATTTTCTTAAGGTATATGCTTCAAATTTCAAGCCAGTGTTGGGACTCCTTTCATAAATATTTCTTCCCACTTTCAATGCTGTCTCACAATTTCAGACTGACCACTTTATTAAGATGTCGATATTCTAACATACCATGATGCAGGAGATGAAAAGGAGAGAATTAATCGCAGGGATTGTATGCAGAAAACAATTGGAACATTAGACTGAGGAACAAGGAGTCATGGTGGTTGTCCGGCTAAAAAGGTGGTAGAGGAGGTGGAAAACAAATGGGATCAAGAAATACAGAAAAACTAATAGACATTTCCTTTTTCCTTAAGCCTTATTTAAGACAGATGTAATAAAATTAACTTACAAAATCTAGTATATCACAGGTTTAGCTCTGAAAATTAAAAGGCCATATTTTCTCAACATTCTTCCAAGTTCCCCAAATGGATTATGAGCGCGTGTGTGAACATGTGAAAGACCAGTGAAATCCGTGCATTTTTACTCTGTTTCTCATACAGTGGTCAGTAGGTGGAAAGCCTTTGAGTGATAAGACCAAGTAATATGTTCTTCCATAGATGGTTTTCTAAAAAGAGAATGTGTAAATATAACATGAATCAAGGAGAATTAAGCATATTTAGAGCAATACCATATCAGTCATATTAAATCATAGGTCCTATCTTTCAAAATTGATACTCATCTTTGGACATCATGATGAGCCCAATTACATTGAACCACGGACCTTGAGTAGAAAGAACAAGGAGCTATCCAAAGAAAAAGAAGAGACTGTTGTCTCTCAAAGCTAGGGAGCCCTTTTGTTTTGTGTTTTCTTGATTCTTTATTATTTTCTCACTGTTTTTGTGGAAATCTCACCTCAACAGTCTTGTTTAGGTGGAGTTGTTTGACTGAATAAATACATCAGAGCTTTCCATCTCATTATAAAGCCAAAAGGAAAGAGCCCGCAACACAAAATGCCAAATGAAATCTATATCTGGCAACGTGCAGCATAATATTTTAATTCCACATATGACGATTATCAGCTGGTCAGGGATATCCTAAGATAGCCGATTGGCGCATTAGATCTCTTAAAATTCTCTTTTCTCTAACACTATCAATTTTCTTTTAGCCTTATTTAGGTTACATCAGCAAAATGCCGAACCCCCATCTGGTTTCCAAACACAAATAGTGCAATCACTTTGTACAAGTCAAATTTTTCAAAGCTAGTCTCTTATCACGAATCAGATGAGTTTAGAATGTGCTAATCAAAACTATTGAAAAAGCTACATTATCATCTCATAGATTTATCCATTTTTATGAAAAAGGATCAGCCGGTCCTAACTCTCCGTCTACCACCTCCTCCCCCGCCCCCAAAAAAAAAAAAAAAATCTACTTTCCAAAACCATAAAAGAAGTAAGAAAAAGAAGAATAAGTGCAGCACAGAAATGTACACAGATTACCTTGTTTTATTTACTCTACTTTTCCTATGACAACTTTTAACTTAGCTTCAAATCAAACTACAGTCCAACACATTATCAAGTGAAATTTTTAGCATTAAACCTAAAATATATATCAATCAGGAGGATGATGATGGAAACAGTTCATAAGAAATATCGTACCTTGATGGACAAAAAAGACGAATCTCCAGCGTTAAGTCCATGAAATCCAATGTCATATGATATGCTACCATCAGCCTTGAAAAGTCCATAATTCTTCTCAGAACCTGCCCCCGGCTTCTGATTCTCGTTGAAAAGAGCAAAAATGTAAGCCTTCACAACATTTTTTGGCCTATGCGGGGTTCCTTTCTTCTTAGCAAGTCTTTTACGCAGGTTATAGTTATATGTCCTCGCATTAATTGGAGTTGCTGCAGGTTCAGTTTCATCTCCATGTGAGGCCCACCCTGTCTCAGTAATTATGACTTCCATTTTATCAAATCCAGCATCTTCCAAAGCTGCATAAGCTGCATCTATCTGAGCATCAAGCATATTATCATAATGCAAACGATACTTAGGGTCATATATTCCCTTCGATGGCTGGAAAAGTGCATAATTTAAATCAATATTCTCTGGGTCATACGTGTAGGCCAGGAAGGGGTAAGCATTTAAACAAAAAGGAGAGCCAATTTGGGAGAAGAACTCCAGCAGTGGCTTCATATACTGATTAATATTATCTGCAAATTTACAAGAGGAGGGAGGGTAGGAGTTCTTGAACACAGCAGATGAGTGTGCAGTAGAAATCTGAATTGGACTATCCAGATTGAGTTTTTGGGTAGCATTGTATATATTCTTTGCAGCACCCAGAAGAGCTCCCCACAAATTAAAGTCAGAAGCAAAAACCTCATTTCCCACAGCAATCCCCCGAATGCGTGTATCAGGAAGAAACGCCTGTACATTTTCCTTCACCCAGTTCAAGGCGTGGTCCGGGTTGGAACTCATGTCTTGCAGCTGTCCATTGGGAAGTCCAATTACAAGTTCAAGACCAGTTTTACTGAAGGCATTGAGAACAGTATGATCAGCATCATAAATTCTAACATTCCTTATTTTTGCAGCTCTGAGAAGTGTAACAACTTCATCTGGTGAGGGAATATTGTTTGCAATTCTCCCATAATTGATACCATAAGTTCCAGTAAATCCTTGCACAGTATTGGGTGCTGAAAACAAGCAGAGGACAATTCTGTTAAGATAATGCCCCGGCCGTATATTATCACACATCAGGGAACGAGTATACTCAATGTCAGTTGGCTTAAGACAATAAGAGAACTAGCATATTAATGAGCAAAATTAGAAACTAGGGGACGCAAAGGACAGGAATCAACTAACAGTTTCACCCTTTTGACACCTTCAATTCAAATTTAAATACTCAGAAAAGGGAAGAGAATTATAATTGGAACTATGATCGATAGAGTTCAAGTAATAATCAATAGTAAGAACGGTGGTCACTGGTCACAGGTGAAGGAAGTAAACACGCTTATCGGAATTTAAAAAGGAAATCAAACTGGCAAAGAAGCACTATGAACAAGAACTTACTCGCGATCTAAGGCGAAATTTCAGTGAAAACTACCGCACCAACAACACAAGAATCAAAGATGTCGATTCATTAAGGGGAAAAACTCAGCAAAACTCCAAACAACTTCAATTCCAAAACTCCAAACAACTTCAATTCAATTACAAGCTTTGAAACCGAAAAAGAAAAGCAAGAAAGTACCAATTTGAGCGAAGACGACAAATAACATGAGAAGGAAAGAGCCAAACAATCGCAAACTTGTCATCGCCCGGAAAAGAAAACAGCGGAAGGCGACACAATTTTCCATCAAGAGCCGTATGTGGACTGGTGGAGCGGGTCAACACAAGGTCAGAGTCGAGATTCGAAACGGCTTCTATGCACTGTTTCTTCTTCTTCCACAGGCATGCCATGCCATAAGACGAAGATTCCCTTGCGTTTGCTGTCAAAAGAACTAGAGATTCGCCGCCTCCATTACTCCATTCGTTTCCTCTCTCCCACCTTCAACATCAAAGAAACGATCTTTCTCAGTTTAAACAATGAATTGAAGCAGAAGAGCAACCAAAGCAGGGAACTTCAGCAACGATTCTATGGAATGCGAATGTTGATAGGGGGAAAGGGAAAAGACAGTGGGCGAGACTTCACACTTTATATCAAGCGCATTTAAAAAAAAATGCGTGAAATTCCGCAGTGCACTGGTTTTTGAATCGCGGGTCAGTAAAGGGTAGGCTGCTAAGGAACCTAAATGGAAATATGACAAAGGAATAGGAAGCGAATGGATGAATGAAAGTGGAATTAGTAAATCATTAGGTCAGCAACTGTTTGATTGTTGATATTCTCACTGTAACTGTTACAGACCGACTAAGGGACGCAGGTGGTCGGTTATAATGTAGGTTTCGCATCGCATTTGGTCGGCTTGTCAAGCATTGGGTGTGGAGTAATAATTTAGTTTTTATAATTTGAATTCTGAAAATTTGTAGGAACTGACAGAATAAATCATTAAACTTTGAAAATTTAGAACTACGCTAAAACTATAAGATTAATTAAATGGTTAATATATTTTTAATCATGATATGGGCACAAAATTGGTTTCAAAAGAAAATTACAGTCAGGTCTAAATAAGAATTAATTTCTTCTATCCCATTTGCAAGTCATAAGTTTATATTTACAAGTTAAAATTTTGAATTAATAATTGGCTAGGATATGTGAGGAAAAACATCATTATAGGATTGGCTACAAATTTGTACGGAAAAACATGGCTTGGGGTGGGACAAGTTCCTGGTTCATGTTTAGATTTTTTGAAGGATTAAGACCACGAGTGTCACCTTAGTTAACCAAAAAAATTAATTAAGATATGTGTTAGAATTCTTTTAAGCATAGTTATGAACCTAAAAGTAATTGATTTTGTTGAGTCAGACATTAAAGTAATTCTTCCTAAAATATAATGACATCCTTCGGACTTGTTAAAATTACATAAACTTCTTTTCTATTTTCAAAATCTACAGTTTAATCCATTTTTTAACACTATTTGCAATATTCCATTATAGATTTTAAAATACTTAATTTTTTGTTTGTAATTATATCAAAAATTTTAAAATTATTAATTTGACCTTGTAATATAACTATCTACTCTCTCAAATTTTAAAAACATTAAATAATTAAATATGTTGATGTTTAAAAATTGTGTTAAAATTAAAAAAATTTAAATAAAAATAAACAAAAATTGTATTGAGTAATTATCAAATTAAAATTTTTTACTTGCGTGTTTGAAATATTATTTCAGCCAAGAAATAAATAGGTTTACATAGATAAAAAAATTAAAATTTAAAAAAAATAAAAAAATATGCATGATTTTTTTGTGTAATTTAAATGATTTTTAAATAATATTTATATTTAAATAAGAGTATTTTAGCCTAATATCTGTGACTTAGTGATCCACTAATAAATGGGTGGATGAAAATGAAATATTAAAACTAGCAGGAATGTTTTTGTTTTGTAACTATTCACATCAAAGGAGGTTAGCCCAAGTTTAAAAAAGCAGAGGAATGTATATGTAATTAAAATAAAATGGAAAGGAAGTTCAAGTATTTTTCTCTAATTTTAATATTATATCGATTGCAAAGAAATTAAACAGTAATCAATTAGATCAACTGTGATATAAAATATAAATTTATTACAAGTATATCAATTATGAATTATGAATAATATAACTTATTTTTTAAATTCATAATTTTTAATCATTCCTGACAATATTATTTAAAAGTTTTTAGTTGTTTTACCCAAATAAATACTTTCTAGTTCTTCAATCCATAATATAGGGTGTGGGTGACTACTTCACAATTTGAAAAAAAAATGTTAGATAAAATTTTAATCTTTTACAAAATTATACATGATATATAAATATATTAACAATGATAATTAAAATTTTAATCGATCATCCTTCTAAAGAGAGTAGTAAGTAAAGTAGATGTATAGTTAGGAGAATGATTATAAAAAACATTTAATACCTTATGTTCAGATCAAGTGAGACTTTCAAGAAATTTCTTAAAGTTTTTTATCAAAAAATTTTGATCATAAAATTTTGGATGTTGTTATTACTCTATCAAAAAACTGTAGTATTCAGAAAATTTTCAACCTTTTGCATATGTCTATAAAACTTTTGAATAACGTATCACGACTGTGGATTTAGAAATTGGTAAAAACATGGGTTGGATCCAGGTTCGTTTACGTGAACAGACACTGCGCCAGCTGCGAAGAAGCGTTAGTCAACGGAAACGTTTACTTTTCCAGCTCAGACGTGACACGTCATGATGTCGTTCGCTGTCTCAATAATTATTTATCCTAACTTTTTTTTATCATGCACCTGTGTTCATACTTCATGCTAATAACATCTCACCGTACTTCTTTTAACTTATTTTTTATATCTACAATTATTTTTTCAAATAATTTTAAGACTCACCATATTTTAACGTAAACATTTTTACTTGAAGTTCTAATTATCGCTTTCTGCAAATGGTAAACAGTGCTTCTAATCATTTGCAGGGAAACCATTTCTCTAATTTTAATTTTAAATAATTAACACGATGATTATTAACCCTGTATAATACTCTCTGTCTGTACCATTCACAGTTCAACACATGAGCATCATTAAAGCGTAAAAGAAGGGCCAATATTTAATTTTCACTCCGTACTTAAAAAAAAAAAAAACAATAACAACACCCGTTCACATACAAAAAAGTGAAAACCCCCCACTGAACTAGTGGGGATCACGCGTAGTAAGTGGTGATAGTGATAACTTAATACATAAGCTGTTTGTATAGTATTATATGTCTGTGACGGAATGTGTTGAAGCTCTTTTGCATCATTGAATACATATAGTATGTAAGTATAGTGGTTTAGTGAACATAAAAGAATTTACGAGATTTTCAAAAAGTAAATTAAAGAAGATAAAGCTGAAAGAGTGAAGGAGATAACGAAAGCAATGGGAAGGGGAAGGGTGCAAAAAGAGTATATTGATTAAGAAACCGAGAAATGGGCGCTTAAAGATTGAACGATACATCGGTGAGTGATTGATTCAACTAGTTAAAAAAATTAAATTAATTTATCCTAAAATTCTAAATTTGAGTTTTTTAATATATAATCATATTAAATAAATATGTTAAAAATATTTTTAAGATATTTATGAGATCACTGTTAATAATATTGATATTACATAATAGGGGATTAGGATTAGTCTAGGACAGGAAATCTAGTTAACAACAACTTTTGTTGGTTAGTAATATTATTGTAAGGTATCTTTAGAATTTTTTATATATTTTAAGAAAAAAATTTATATTCTTAAATTTATCAAAATAATAATAATCAAAGTCAAATCTTATTACCTCTGCTGAAAGGTTGCTGCCATCTACTCTCTTTGTTTAAAAATATAAGGTATTTTTTAAGAATTGAATGATAAGGTAATTTTAATCTTTTGAGATATAATCATTATTTTTTTTTAAATGTACTTCTATTGATAATGACTTTATAGTAAGGTATTTAATAAGAATAAATATAAAAAGATATGGTTAGTTTAAAAGTGAGTAACTACCTTATTAAGGGGTGAAATTTAGTTAAAAATAACTTATATTTTTTAACGGAAGGATTATCATTTTTTACAATTTTCAAAATAATTGATTAATAAAATTGAAGATAAAAATATCGAATTATTAGAGAATATTACATCACCTGTCAGGTAAAATTAAAACAAAAACTTTTATAAAAAGTACAGGATTAGAAGGAGTGTGTATTATGTATGCTTGAAAAAGAAAATCCCACTCTCAAGTTGATTGCTTTAAGAATTGAGAGAGGTCCAGAAAGGAAAGCACTTTGGTGATAACATTAACGGAAAATATAATCAACATCAACTATCTTTATAATTTTATTAATTTTTTTTTAATTTTTAGGGTTTTTTCAGTACTTTTAATTTTTATAGTTTTAATTTTGTTCCTTAAGCCTTTATAGATTCAGTGTTCTCAATAATTTCAATCTCTATAAAAGCCAAAAATAAACAACTACAGAAATTACAAATAAAATTAAATAAAATTATAGAGATAAATAATTGTATTCCCCTTAATATTAATATAAATAGTCACAGGATTAAAGCAAAGGCAAAGGAAGGACGTGTGTCTTGTTCTGAATAGTAAACAGAATCTGCTTTCTCATGTAGTTTCGTCATCAAAAGCTGAACCTCTCACAGAGATAGCCATAGAAAAAGTCGCCTTTCTGATCTGCTGGCTATCAATTGGGTCATGGCCCTATTTACTTTATATTATTTGTATTCCAAATAATTAGAAACAGAGCAGTGGACTTCATTTATGAGTTATGATTCACGTATAATAAATACTTACTGTGATTGATACAAGCGAGTCATTTTTAAGTGCAAGTTTGGATGTCAGCAATAGAAAGTGATATTTGTAAAACTCAGTTTAGTAAAAGTAATCTTTACCTGCGTTGAGGAGATTCAGGTTTGATGAGCAGAACCCAATTTAATAAAATCTGGCCAAACAAGCATTGAATCCAAATTGGGCTTGGAAAGGTTTAGGTTTGTGCCTTCAAAATGATATGTAAACATACCGCAAAAAGAGTTTTATAGTCCAAAATCTTGACAATTATGTAAGACTTCGCTAGGCAATAATTATTTTACCAGGGCGTAGAAAGATGAAAATTTATGTTTTTTACAAGAGGTATTTTTGAAGCAAGCATCACTATTAATTATGCCTAGAAATCTATATCAGGACTTTCATTTAGAGATAAAAGCAATGTGAAAATTAGAGCATATATAGCCAGAGAATGTGTTTCTTAGAAGCAAAAATTGAAAATGAAACAATTTTTAATCAATTTTAGTAATATAACTATGGATAAATTCACCCACTGACCAAAAAAATCTTGTGCCTAAAAACTATTAACCAAATTGTTGAAAATTTAAAAGTGTAGCTTGTTCACATTAATATACAAATATTTATTATTAACATATAAGGGGTTTATTATTGAAATTTTAAAAATCTACAAGTGGTTTATTATTGAGACACAATAATATATCATTCACAAATATAATATATCAGTCATAATGTAAAATATAATAAAATAAATATTGAGCTATTTTTAGTTTGTTTTTATAATATAAGTTACATCTGCAAAAGTCTCTATGCCAATTATAACACAAGTGATGTAAGTTATTATCACTTTTGTATCTGTTGGATAAGTGTAATAATTAATTATAAAAATTAAAATTATAATTTTATGAAAATATATTTAAACACGTCAATTGCATATTCAAGTTAATTATGAATTTAAAATATTTAAAAATATCTAAACACACATTATCCATGACAAAAATAATTATGAAATCAAAATCATAATTTTTTTGAAAATATTCAAACACATCTTTATATGCTAAAATCAATTATGAATCCAAAAACATGATTTTTGGATAAATTTTTAAAAATTCAAATTAAAAAAAGTAATAATAGCTTATGAGATACTCCCCATTCAAAAATATAAGTATTTTTTAAAGAGTTTGATGTTAAAAAATATAAGACATTTTTAATCTTTCGAGGTATAATTATTACTTTTTTTTAAAGTACCCTTATTGATAATAATTTTATATTTATTATAAGATATTTAGTATAGGTAAATATAAAACAAAAGTTAATTTAAAAGCAGGTAACTATTTTACTAGGAGTGAGATTAAATAAAAAATGTTTAACATTTTTGAACGGAGGAGTAACCATGATTTTGGATTCATAATTTGATTTTGGTACATATAAGGGTGTTTGGATATTTTTAAAAATAGTGACTTTAAATTTATCATTGATTTTGATATATATAATAGATATTTAGATATTTTTTTAAAAATCTTCATTTTAAATTACAATTAATTTTGATATATAATATTTGGATATAATATCATTTGTCATGGTTGCCTTTCGGGAGAAAAAAAAAAGCCCCCTTGTTCGATGGCCCACATAAAAGTAAGAAGGAAAGTCCCCCATTATTCGTTGACATGGTTTGGTCTTTCACCATGAGCGATAGTGGCCGTGGTTGCGTTTCAGCATAAAAACTACAAGTCTACAACAGCGAGCGAGCGAGAGAGAGAGAGAGAGAGAGAGAGAGAGACTGCAATACCCACCAGCACCTTCAAAAATGACTGGATCAGATTACAGAATCCAGTAACCTTATCTTCAAAAAGTTCCAAAATGACCATGACTTCTCAATAATTCCCAGAAAAAAAAAAAACCAGAGAGAAAGAGAGATGGCAACAAATTTTCTCCCCACCGCAGCAAATCCCATTCTTTCGCCATCATCGTCATCATCTTCTTCCTCACCCTCTTCTTTGTTAGCATATGGTTACCCCTTAAAATGCAATTTCAAGAGGCAAACCATTCTCTGCAAATCAGTGAACCTCCCGGCGGTATTACATCGTCCTGTTGTCACCAAAAGAATCCTATCTCTCAGCTTCCTCACTAACTTCGTACTTTCACTTGCTGGTAAGGGAAGCTCTGACGCGAATGCAGCTATACTGGAGGCAGACGATGATGAGGAGCTCTTGGAAAAAGTGAAGAGGGACAGAAAGAAGAGACTTGAGAGGCAAGGTGTGATCAGTTCATCCACCAAAGAAAAAGGTCAAATCCCTCCATCGCACATGATTCTTCTCTTGATCCTTCTTTCATTTTTAAGTGAATGTAGAAACCCTCTTACCTCTTTACTCATAGATGGCTGGTCAAATGTATAGTTTGATGTGTCTTACCATGTGATATCTCCATTTTCATTACAATGTAAGTTTTGATGTCCCCATCAAATTGAATGAAAAGCATTATCTTCGCAAGAACTATGTACAAATTCTGGAAAGTTGTCCTCTGGATGACTTCACTAAAGAAGCCTTCTTTTGAACTGATCTATCAGATTCAGGGGACATGTTATTAAAATGTCTAATGTCTGACCGCTCAAAATTGAAATGGATATGCAGAATATCTTCAGGATCTGGTGTACAATCTAAGCAAAGTTGGCCAAGCCATTGAAAATAATGATCTGGCAACCGCCGGTTCTGTTCTTGGGGGAAGCACTAATACAGACTGGGTCCAAAAGGCCAATGTAGCCTTTAACAAGGTGAATCTACTGTCTAAAATGACTGCATTAGCAAGGGACTGATATAAATGAATTAGAAATTAGAAATAACTAAACACCTTTCCAAGTATTGGTATTGTCTGGGTGAATAAGACATATTATTCATGACTTGCCAATAATTTAGATTGTATATTGATATTTGATTATATAATCTTTGTTTGAAAGTTGGTGGATTTTATCTTGTTCTGTTTTTCTCTTTCCCCTCCCCCCTCAGGAGGTTTAATGACATTTTCTGGATAAAAATGATGCAGCTGAGCTCCAGTCCCGAAGAGAAAGATGAGGTGGATATATTCAATTCTTCACTAGCATCTCTGATTTCAGCAGGTGGGTTGCATCTACCTTTATGATATATACCAATAATCAAGTTCATACAAGAAAGAAGATATGCTGAAATCTATAGAAATCAACCTGATTTTTACCTCTTAGGAAGCATTCCTTCCAGAGCTCTCTCTCTCTCTCTCTCTTTTTAAGAAAAAGAAAAATTATTTTGATTCTGTACATCAAACGGTCGCACACTGAGATTTCTTTCCTACGTTACATTTTTGTAGTTGCCAAGAACGATGTTGAGTCTTCCAAACTCGCCTTTGTGTCTTCGGCCAGTGCATTTGAGAAGTGGACGTCCATGACAGGACTGTTTGCCCAGCTTAAGGGACTCTGAAGGGAAAGAAGCCCGAGTTATATCTTCTCGCCTTTCTGGAATGAATATTGATAAATCATCCAATCTTCCATCCGATAACCGCGAATTGCAATTTTGAGGCCATAATTTGAGAACTAAAGTGTTTGCTATTGTTGTTCTAACTTCTAACAGTACAAAAATACCCATTTAAGGAAGCCATCCCAGTTTCCAACATCTGCTCGAAAAATGCGGTGACTTTGGTCTATGGCGGTGACTAATCACACAGATTGTGAGATATTAGACGCTGAGGATACAAGCTGGAATTGTAAAAGTAAACGGAGTATTTAGGGTCTTACATGATCATAGGTTCTTATCACATTACAGGAAACAACTTCTTAATGTTACACAGGAACTAATCGCTACACATCTTCACTAATACACCGAAGGATGGTACATTATAGGCCTACTCTATAATTGTATGTGCTCGTTTCAATGAACAATTAGATAAATAACAACAACAAAAGCTGCAGTCATCTTAAGACAGATCTTAGGGGGTCAAAGAGGGGTGAAGCCGAAACTTCTTAATCTTATTCGTTCCTCAGGGCCCCAACATCACCCGTACCACTTCCATTGGTGCCGTTATCAGTGACCTCTGCTTCACCCTTCTTGCTTACCTCCTTGCCCTTGTGATATCCTTCATTGCTTTCCATTGTTCCTTCCTTTTCCTCGGGTCTGTAGTTTATATCTTTAAGCTCTCCTTCAACTTCAACCTTTTTCTCAGTTATATTGTCTGTTTCAAGGGTCTTCAGCACCTCAGATCCATCCTCTTTCTTCATCTTATCCTCAGGTTGCTCAGTTTCTCTTCCTGTTTTGTTCCCTCACTCTTCTCATCTTTATTCCCAGAAGCCTCAGCGTCATTCCCACCAAGGTTATCTTTCACGCTCGGAAGCTCTCCACCAGTAGTCTTGGACAAGTCCTCATCATTAGATATATTAACATGTCCTTCAGATTTACCCCCCACAGGATGAATGGGTTCTTCTTTGACATTTGTACCCTCTTCTCTATTCTTATCTTGATTTTCGTCCATAGCAACCTTTTCAACTACTGTATCTTCCTTTGGTTCATCAGTTTCTTGCATCTGCACATCTGTTGTCTCCTTCTTCTCTTCATGGGAAGCATCTTTCTTCGAAGCTGATGATTTTCTGCTGCGCTTCTTTGGGGGTTCAGTTTCTACTACAGAAGCCACCTTGGCTTTCTCGCTGATCCTTGCTGATCTTCTTGGGGTCTCACCCGTGCCCCAATCAAATTCCAATAAAGCTGGGCCACCAGGGTGCGCTTTTAAATACTGTTCCAGCTGCTTCTTGTTATTAATCTCCTCTCCCGTTGGGGCAGTGAATACAATCTCATTTTTCTTCGGGGTTCCACCCTTTTTTGGGAAGAACTGCAAAAGGCCACAAATGAATTATAAACCATCCGGTTACAAAATCACTAGCAGAATGCTTGATAAAATGGTTTTTAGGGCAGGGAGCGCACACACTTTCTTCAGAAGTGGCTAAGGTGGAGGGTTTGAATAAAACCCTCCAATTCATGTTAGTCTTCCTAAAGATATGGCAGGATGATTCTCCACTAACTCATAACTATTGACTGCTCCAAACATCATATGGACTATTGCAATCTAGCAAATTCAGTATTTAACCTCAGAAAAATAATAACATGGAGCCATATTAACCTTGTCCAGTCAGAGGTTTTCATTCCCTCTTAATCCTTCCATTCAGAGGCTCTACTTGGGAGATGATGAGGAGGAACCAAAAATTAGAAGACAAGCATTAAAGTCAACAACATAGACAATGTTTCCCAAAAAAAAAAATGCATATCTGATACGGAATGCCTATGAAAATAAGACTAAGTATAATTCAAATCAACTAAGGGGTACAATCTCCAATTTAAGCGTGGGTTATTACATTGATCATCACGAGATCACATTAAACTGACGTATTGAGTCCCACTAACTGTAAGTCAAATACTAGATTTTTCCAATAAACTGAGGGGCCCCGGCTCTCATGAGTCATGAGTCTTGGACTTACCAATTAACAATAATCCTGGACTCCACCCTCACCAGTTTAAAGGACATCATCTGCTTAAGCAACAGCATCACTGAATATTTTCAGTATTTTGGTCCAAACAACTAGCTGGTAGAGTGAAGAACAAAAAAGATCGTAAAAACAATATTTAATGACTTGATGCCCCAGATTTTTCCTCTGATAGGAATTTTTTGGAAGGTCTAGAAAACCCTAACGGATTACAATCACACAGCAACAGGATAATTTTCTGAATTCATTACTCGAAAACCCTAAAGCTTCAATGTGAATTTCTAAGCATAAGTATTCATTATTTAAGACGAGTCAAGCAAATGCAAAGATGCCCTAGCTCAGGTCCAGAGAGCAAAGCGTCAAATTACGCCTTGAAAGACCGAAACTCGCAAAAATGAAAACAAACCCACGTCAGAATTTAACGTCGAAGCAAGAACTAGAACACAACCACAACGAACTATAACTAGAAACGTCAATCTCCGTATAAAACAATTGTCAACTCGAAACAGGCCCAAGTAGAGACAGAGAGAGATAGAAGTGGACCTTCTTCTTCCAACCAGGAGGAGCAGGAAGTTCCACGGAGAGAGGTTCCTCCCCCGCTAACCTCTCCTTTTCCACTGAGCTCGCCATTTTCACCTACAAATTCAGATGGAAAAGTTCACAAAACATGAGATACACAGATGAGACTAAAATTCCCCTTTTCTTAACCCCAAAAGGAAATTAGGAAATAGCCACGGGTTCAAAGGAAAACACTTGCTTTATAATTTCCTTTTTCAGTGAATTGAGTCTTGGTGGTATCTGGGTAAGAGAGAGACGAAAAAGTTGGAGATGAAAAACGGATGATGAATAAATAAATGACGAAGAGAAGAATGGAACTCAGCAGAGGGGGTCACAGCGCTCTCTTATGCTGCCACGTGTCCCCTAGATTTCATTTGACGACGTCATTTTGTTATTTTCTTTGAAGAACTTGTGAGAAAGAAAAGATGTTGACAATATCCTAAGTAAACGTGTTTTTGAGTTCCCAAAATTTAAGTTTGCAATTTCACGGTTCCACCTGCTGGAGTTTACCAACTGAAATTTGGATGATAAAAAAGATGGTTAAAATGGTGATGGAAGATAGGTGGAATTTTAATCATTATTATAACTGGAAATAGATACTTTAAAGTTAAGAATCCCGTAAATTTCATGAAATTTATTTTTTAAAAAAGTATGTTTCTGTAAAAAATAAAATACAAAACAATTCATAATCTCAACTTTAGAAGAGTTAAGTTTATTGTCGTTTATTCAAAATAGAAAGGGGGAGAAACTAATTATAATTAAAATTTGATAAATATGCAATTATGTTATTTCAATTCTTTTTATTTTTTAAATGTATAAAATGTATTTGTATAAAAATACATTATTTTTCTATTTTTAGTCTAAAAAAATATTTTTTATATTAAAAAATAAAAATAAAATAAAAAGACAATGGTAGGGGAGGGAGGAGAAAACTTTTGCCTCCCATCCTTTCCAACTTGTCCAATCAAACAGTCTCTCAACTCCTCTCGGTTTCTTCTTTTCTTTTCTCTTCTTTTCTTTTCTTTTTTTTTTTTTTGTTTTTTGACCTGAATCTTTCGACTCCTCTTCAGACAAACATTGTCTAAGGCCTTTTATGTCTTCTGCCAGTGCATTTGAGAATTGGACGTCCATGACAGGCTCTTTGCACAGCTTCAAGGAATTTGGAGGGAAAGGAGCCAGGGTTAATTCTTTTCGTTTTTCTGGAATGAATATGAATTAACCAACAAATCTTTTCCCTCATCACCGCAAATCGCAATTAATTTGAGAAATGTCATGTACTTGCTATTTTTCATCCAACAGTGCTCAAATACCCATTTAAGGAAGTCATCACAGATTCCATCATTCCAACATCTACAAGAAAAATGTGCTAGCTTCCATCCATAGGGGTGACTAACTGTATAGATCGAGACTGACGCAGAGGACGGCGAGCTGGACTTTTAGGAGTAAACGGAACAATTAGAAACTTACATGATCATAGGTTCTTATCACACAGTACAAGTAAGATACAACAACTTGATGTTACACCGGGGAACTAAAGCTACACATCTCTCTAATACACCGAAGGATGGTACATTATAGCCCTACTCTATAATTGTATGTGATTATTTCAATGAACAATCTGATCAATAACAACAACAAAAGCTGCGGTCATCTTAAGACAGGTCTAAGGGAGTCAGAATGAGAGGGGATAAGCCAAAGCTTAATAATTACCCATTCCTCGGGGTTCCAACCTCACCAGTAGCACTCCCATTGGTGCCGTTTTCGGTGACCTCTGCTTCACCCTTCTTGCTTATCTCATTGGCCTTGTGATATCCTTCATTGTTTTCTTTTGTTCCTTCCTTTTCCTCAGTTTTGAAGTTTATATCTGTATGCCCTCCTTCCACTTCAATCTTTTTCTCAACTGGGTTGTCTGTTTCAAGTTTCTTCAGATCCTCAGGTCCATCCTCTTTCTTCGTCCCATCCTCACGTTGCTCAGTTTTCTCTTCCAGTTTTGTTCCCTTACTCGTCTCATCTTTATTCTCAGAACCCTCAGCCTCCTTCCCGCCAAGGTTTTCTTTCAGGCCCAGAATCTCTCCACCAGTAGTCTTGGACTCGTCCTCATCATTTGGTCTATTAACATGTTCTTCATGTTCATTATCTTCCACAGGATGACGGGATTCTTCTTTGACATCTGAAACCTCCTCTCTATTCTCTTCTTGATTTTCGCTCACAGCCATCTTTTCCACAACTGTATCTTCCTTTGGTTCATCAGTTTCTTGCATCTGCACATCTGTTGCCTCCTTCTCTTCCTGGGAAGTGTCTTTCTTTGAAGCTGATGATCTTCTGCTGCGCTTCTTTGGGGGTTCGGTTTCAGCTGGAGAAGCCACCTTGGCTTTCTCACTTATCCTTGCCGATCTTCTAGGGGTCTCACCAGTGCCCCAATCAAATTCTGACACAGCTGGGCCACTAGGGTGCGCTTTCAAATACTGTTCCAGCTGCTTCTTGTTATTGATCTCCTCTCCTGTTGGCGCAGTGAATACTATCTCATTCTTCTTTGGGGTTCCAGCCTTTTTTGGGAAGAACTGCAAAAGATAAAAAAAATGACTTAGAAATCATCAACTATGTTAAATCACCAGAAGACTGCTTGATAAAATGGTTTCTAGGGCGGGGAGCATGTCATCTTATATTGGAAGTAGCTTAGGCAGAGGGTTTCCATAAAACGAAAGTATTTGCATCTCAAGTTCCATACAACATCCATCTATTGTTTGTTTCTTTCTGTCTTTTCATTCTTTCTTCGTCCAATTCATATTATCGAAGTCTTCCTATAAATATGGCAGAATGATTCTCCATTGACTCAGAACTATTGACTACTCCAAACATCATATGGGCTATTACAATCTAGCAAATTCAGTATTTAACTAAAAGGAAAAGAGTAACATGGTACCAAATTAACCTTGTCCAGTCAGAAGACTTTCATTCCCTCTTTAATCCTTCCATTCAAGCTCTAGTTGGGAAATGATGAGGAGGAACCAAAATTAGAAGACAAGCAATAAAGTCAAAACCATAGACCTAGGCCCATAAAGTGCCAAAAAACAGCACATCTGATACAGAATGTTTATGAACCATTTATCAATATAGAAATGCTCCGACAATGTCATGCACTGATAGAACCCAGAATTGACCACAAAAAAATGTTTTGATGCTATCACAACGAGGTTTCTCATGTGCCCAAATTGTGAGAGGGGCGATGAAGGATGTTAAATTAACCTAAGTGATCATCACAAGAAGGAAAAGGTTAAAATAAATGTCTGTAAACATGACATTGAAAATATTGTGAACGCTGATACACAAAAGGGAATAATAAAATTGTCTTTCATCTGTGCGTATGTTAAAAAAAGAGAAATGTGAAAGGCATAAAATTTGAAATGGATAATGAAAGTGCCTGAAAATTTGGGATTAGAATTGAATGGCGAAGCCAATTTGTTATTAGCTATCACCAATTTCAGTCTTTAAAAATTGAAGTGAACTTGCTGTCAAAGGGGTTTGATGCGCACCCTTTCCCCTCTATCGACTTCCAAGTTCTCAAGACCTCCTTCGTTAAAAGAAGAAAAAATGATTCAGAATTTGACTGCTTTTAACACAATCATAGGCAATATACTTTCTAGCAAGAGGTTTATTAACAATCATTCAAAGTCAAGCAGCAAAAATTGCATATTCATGTTAAATGCCAGGAATTGATTCTAATATAGAATGTTATCAATAAGAGAATATATTCATGATATACAATATTTTTTAATAAAAGTAAATTAATCTCTGCAACTGAAGTTAGAAGGCCAAATAAAAACATACTTTCACAATAATACAGAAATTGCGCCACTATCATCGACAGAGAGTGTCTATTCACAACTATATTATTGAAATGTGCAGGATCTAAGGCTAACTAAGCATGATCAAGATCAACTAAGGTGTAATTTATAATTTGAGAGTGGGTTACCACATTGATCATAGCAAGATTGCATTAAACTGAAACATGGGCTCCCACTTACTGTAAGTGAAAATACTAGATTTTCCAATAAACTGAGAGGCCGGAATCTCATGAGTCTTGGACTTAATAATTTACAATAAGCCTGGATTCCAACCACATCAGTTTGAAGGATACAATTGCTATAAGCAACAGCAGCACTGAATATTTTCAGTACCGTAGTCTAAAGAACTAGTTGATATAGTGAAGAATAAAAAAGGTCACAAAAACAATATTTAATGACTTGATGCCTCAGTTGTTTTTTTTTTCTTTGGTGAGATCACGTATTAAAAAAAAAAATCACAGTTGGCTCATAATCCAAGGGCTAACAAAACGTTTCAGCAACTTTCAAATTTCAATTAGGAGCTTTGAGCCTTTTAGTAAATAGTATTAGAGGGTTCTGAGAATGATAATTACCCTCAGATCTGAAACATGAAATGATTTAAGATATTTTCTGCTACGTTAGCCCTCCATGGATGGCCACGCCTGGCCATTCATGGAGGGCTAGCGTGCGTGCACGTGTGTGTGTGTGTTGTGTTGTGTTGGCAAATTTACAACTACTTTACTCAGAGGTAAATTCACTTAACCTACTAAAAGAAATATTTTATGTTAGTTTATTAATTAAAAAAAATTGACAATTGCCGCAAATGTCAGACATATCATTAAGCCAAACTGATGGACACAGCCCACGACAGTAGAAATCATTATCCTGCAATGAGGCATCTAGAACTGCAAAAAAGTGAGAAGCCAACTTTAAGTTTTCATGTCCAAGCACAAATGAAGATGAATGGTGCAGTCACTAATTCTAGAGCAACCAGATCCATTCATGCCACAATTCCCGTTATCAATTCAAAGACTTCAAAGTTAGTGAAAGAAAATTCCAAGAAATAAGCTAGAATATATAGAACAATTCTTATTTAACTCAATGCAGTCCTGTGCAGAAAGTGAACTTCAGTATAACTGGTCAGACTCAGAGCATCTTCTGAGATAATAGAGAGAAACTAAGTTTTCGATACAAGCAGTGGAGCATGCAGAAAATTTAAATGTAACCCTTCCATTGCAAACGTGTGGCACTGTTACGAAATTTTTCTGATTTAGGAAAGCAATTATCGTGAACGTTTTTAAGAAAAAGTGACAGTATACAAGACAAGACACAAAGGTCCTGTTTGGTATAAAATATTGAATTTTGTGGGATTGGGAATGGGATTGGTAATGGGATTGGATCTGAAAATAAGGATTTAAATTCATGTTTGGTATGTGGGATTAAAAAAAAAAATATAGGCAACAAAAACTAGCTAAAAGACCCAACTACCCTCATCTTCCTCCTTCTTGGCTTCAACTTACGTCTGCTCCATCTTCCTCATCTTCCTCCTTCTTAGCTTCATTCCTCACGCCCACAGTCTCTCTCTCTCACACCCATACTTGCGCTCCACGCCACTGCAACTGTCCTTCACTCGAGTCTCTACGTCGTCGACGGTGGCCAATGAGCAATCCAAATCTGGGTGAATGATTCAGGCTCGCGACCCTGTATTTCCAGATCTGCTAGTTCCGGCGTCGCCTTTGTTCTTCATCTTCCTAGTTCTAGCGTCCTCGTTGCGCCTGTGTGTGGCTGTGGGAAGCATGATGGAGGAGGCCGATGGATGGTAGTGGCGGAGATGTGAGAGGCGAGAGGTGAGAGGTGGAGGGTAGAGGGAGAGACGACAGAGACAAGAGAGATGGAGGGTACTTTTGTCAAAAAATAATCAATCCCAGGATTGATTTTCCAATACCTGGGGGTGGTTGGTATTGGAGTAATCCCACCTAGATGGGTTTGGGCTTGAGATTAAAATTCTTATTTCTTCATACCAAACATAAAAACTTAAGATTAGTCAATGCCAATACCAATCCCACTTCCTCTTTGTACCAAACAGGGCCAAAGAATCTAACCACTTCAATAGTAGGAAACGTGTCCATCACAGAAATGCACAGGAAACATTAAGAATCTGAGCGCTTTCCAACATAGGAATTTTAGGCAGGTCTAGAAAACCCTAACGGATTACAACCACCCAGCAGAAGGACAATTTTCCGAATTCATTACTCGAAAACCCTAAAGTTTTCAATGTGAATTTCTAAGCATGAGTATCCATAATTTAAGACGAGTCAAGCAAATGCAAAAATGCCCTAGCTAACGTCCTGAGAGCAAAGCGTCAAATTACGCCTTGAAAGACCGAAATTCGCATAAATGAAGCAAGCCCACTCAGAATTTAACGTCGAAGCAAGAACTCGAGCACAATCACAACGAATTATAACTAGAAAGTCAATCTCCGTATAAAATAATTGTCAAATCGAACCAGGCCCAAGTAGAGAGACAGGTAAAGATAGAAGTGGACCTTCTTCTTCCAACCAGGAGGAGCAGGAAGTTCCACGGAGAGAGATTCCTCCCCCGCTAAACTCTCCTTTTCCACTGAGCTCGCCATTTTCACCTACAAATTCAGATGGAAATTTTCACAAAACATGAGATATAACGAAGAGACCAAAAATCCCCTATTCTTACCCCACAAAAAAGGGAAATTCGGAAGGGGACAAAAAAAAAAGCCACGGGTACAGAGGAGAACACTTGCTTTATAATTTCGTTTTTCAGTGATTTGTGTCGCCGTTGAAGCTGGTGACAAGGGAGCGAAGTTGAAGATGAAAAATGAAGAATGAAAATAAATGAATAAATAAATAACGAGGAGAAAAGAGAATTAAGCAGCGGGTGCGAATTTGGGAGGGACACGTTGGGGAGTCCCGAATGTGTTTCTCGGTCCGCGGGTGCTACGGTCACCTGAGGGTGTTGAGCACCAGCGTCACCAACTCACAGTGCTCTCTTCTGCTGCCACGTGTCCCACAGATTTCATTTGGTTGCTTTGTTTGCAAAAATAGTGATAACTGATAACATATTTACATTGACAATAATATAATTTCAGGATTGAATAATAAATTAGGGAGAATGATAAATAAGGACTTTGAAAAAATATTAATGTTAAATTAAAAATTTTAGTATTGAAGTGTAACCTTTCAGAGACTAAATTGTAAAATCTTTCTTGTTAAATCACAATTGACTTCAAATCATGAAAACTTAATGTTTAACCATCAAGGATTACTAAATTGTAAAGTTTTATAAAAAAAAATTTAAATTTTTCAAAATTCTTTTAAAGAAATCTCAATTTTAACAATTTAAATCTTAAACATTATTTAACAAGTTCGCATCAGAGTTTTGAAAGTAAAGCGGAAGCTTGACAATCAATTAGGACCCAAAATAATAAATTTTAAAACTCAAAAACAAATTTTGTACAGAAAATGACACATGCGCAGCGGCTTACGGCATGTGCGTCACGGCATGAGGTGGCGTGTGCCGTGGAACATTGCATAAAATTTGAAAGCATCAATGCTGTCATTTGACAGCACGATGAGCAAATTTTCAACGCATTTCAAATCTTCGTCCGATGTCCGATTGAGGTGATTTTAGTGTTTACACGGAGCTTTCTCCTAACTCTAGCTAATGCCACTCAAACTCATTTTCTATAAAAAGTTGGATACAAAAATCTATTTTAACCACTTTCACAGAATTTCACAAATGAAGTGTCGCAATTCAACCACACGTGTCAATAGATTACACCAACCATCCAACCACATTTAATAGATTCTTGCAGACTCGTGCAACACATCACACACAATTAAAAATACTTATCTCATAAAATCACCACTCAACCTTGATTTTCACAAAACATAAAAAGGAAAGGAAAGTTGCACAAAACCATCAATTTCACTTCAAATCCTTCAAAATACATATGTTTCTACTTGCACAAGTATTTTGGCCCTATCGACAAGTTCATAACTAAAACTCACTAACTCAAGTCATAAAATACATTAGTTATACACAAAATTATGTAAGTAGTGCAAAAATCATGTCAAATAATCCTAGTTGGCAATTACATTAACAAATACACATGAAAGTAATAAAAGAGAGGCATATAGAGGATTACTTCGCAAATCCTAAGCCTCTGTATGTTTTTGCCAACTTGAATCCGATGAGCTAAGTCTTGAAAATATTGAGAATTAAGGGGTGAGTACAACCACTCAGTAGCTAAATTTATGCAATTAGGTAAATAAGCATGAATAACACATAACACTCAACCATATTTCATAAAACTAACAACCATGTGACTAGGCTTGCCACCAAACACTTTATCATATTATTTTGCAAAACATAACACAAGGTCGCAAAATAACAACCATGCACTCTCAACTCATGCCAGACTACAAAACTAACCACCATGTGGCTAGACTTATATGCATTATCATATGCCAACCTTATATCATTATGTTACCTCTAATACAAAACCAGGTTATCACGTGGCTACATCTTTCACAGACTAACCCAACTTTTCACTTGTGAGGAGCTACAAGGTCAGGGTGAACTCACTCACTTATGTAATCTAGTTTCCCCTAGTACTAATAATTATGGGACATCGTACCCTTAATCTAGCCTCCTCATGAACTGATGGAGACTAGTTAGGTTCGAGTTCTTCATAGAATAAGTGGGACAATCCCGAATCAATTATGGGACAAGGGCTACCTCTTGATTCCAACAATCAGTGCTAAGACTAGTTTTTGATTTCAACGGTTACTGCCAATACCATGTGGACTTCAATCAATCTACTTTTCTTTCTAGGCAAACTCCTACCAACGATCATACTATGCATATTTTTCATATAATGTGCATTTTAACAACCAATTCGCCATACATGAACTCACATAACTCAAATGCTCCACAACTCAACATATAATATATCATAATTCTCCACCCATAGTAATAAATCACAATTAATTTCATAAAACACCAAGGGTGGCATAATCAAGGTTTTTTTTTTCCAAAAACCATTTCATAAATCAAATACTTTGCCAATATACATTATTAATTTAACTCATAATTCACATTTCACAAACACAATTAACATTCAACTATAAAGATTAAGTTTTCCCTAATTATCTCAAATCTTTGAGAGGTCAAAGGTTTACCCCTCGCTATACTAACTTCTCAAAGCTTCAACAAGCTCGAATGGTGCCAAAAATAAACTTTTCTACATCCATACCACAAGAATGGTCATCATTGTCAAACTCTTGAAGCTTTATCAACATAAACTTTACACACTCTATTTTTATCAATTCATAATTACTACCCATTTATACCCAATGGGCTCATTAAATTTTATTAATACACCTTATCATTAACAACACTTCAAACCATCATTGATGCACATAAACCTCTTCCAACTATCATATTTACAAAACAATTTGAATATTAAATGTTTCCATGACCAACCACTTCCAAAATCATCAACGTGATATTTTAATACATTAAACAACTCCCATTATATTTATTTTAACTAATGGAATTAGACCCATACTCCTATGGACCAAAAATTTATCTTCCAACACAAACCCTACCATAAATCATCATAAATGAGGGAGAGAAAGGAAGAATAAGACACCATAAACTTACCTTGGGTGTTTGAGAGTTTTAAAACGCCAACAATAAAAGCAAATGTCGTGCCCTAACAAAGCTTAAGTTGAGCTCTTTGTTTTCTTCTTCCTCTTTTCTATTTTTCTCCGGTAGAAACGAATCAGATATATCTGATTTTTGACCGTGCGCCGCAGTGCATGGTACAAAGAGCTCATTATTCAAATTTATCTATGTGCGCCACGTTAGACCAACCACGCTCCGCGGCGTGTGGCACAGGGAACAATTCTTTACTTTTTCTTCCTCTTTTTTTGCCTGGATGGCCCACCATCGATTCAGACTCAGTTATAAGGTTAAAATCACAATAATTATACTAAGTTAAGCCCCTCTGACTACACATCTCATTAATTCACTAATTGTCCTCATTAGGTTAATAAACCATGATTAAATTTTTTTGAATGTTACATGAAACATAGTAAAAAGAGTATTAAAATTTAAGAACATTAATATTGAAAAGTCTTAATTTAATATTAATGCTCTTAATAAGGTCCTTATTTGTCATTATCCTAAATAATTATATTTTGATCTACAACAAGGTTTATAATTGAATATTACATTTCGTGGAGATAAAGTGCTGCTTAAATATTATTATTTTTATTTCAGGAAAATAATTGATAATGTTTTTATGTTAGCTTCTAAAAATAAAAATTTAAAAATTTAAAATTTTTAATCCAATATAGTCTTTATTGGATATCAAATCGATATAAATGTTGGATGATATCAATATTATTTTTTTATATGATGAAAATTAAAAAAATATTTTTTTTTTTTTTGTTGAATCATTTTTGTATGAATAAGAAATCACTATATATTAATTCAACCAAAGGTTCTCGTGGCCAAAAAAAATTTTGAGTTTCTTACAACAATTAAGATGTTATTTGAGTGATTGAAATATGCCTTCACCTCATATTTTTTTTAACCATCATGCCTTCTCTTAATATCCATGAATATGAAATGTTTACTTATGAGTTAGCTGGGGAAATAATCTATTATAATGTGAGGAACATATATATGAATTCGTTGAAAAATGCATTTACATTTAGAAGCCACTTGGTTGTTAAAAACGATGGGAATAAATAAATTAAATAAATCTAAACTAAAATAAACTAATAACTCACTTCGTTAGTGTTTGGACCTAAAATTGAAATGTCAGGCCAATAAGAAGAATTAAGGTAAAAAACACAACTAGCCCAGAGAACATAACTCGGTCCACAACTAAAAAAAAAGCGTGTCATGCACGAGCCTAACTTAGCCCTTAAGACTCGGGACTACTAAATGTACAAGACCGTTAAGGGGATATGATGCATCATGCCATGAATCTCGCAGGCTATGCTAATGAATCCTTGATATTTTGTGAACGAGTTTCGAATTTCATGGGGTAATTATCTAAATTGAACAATTATAAAAGGAGCATAATGTTATAGGAAAAGAAGACGGACAATCAATCAACAACACCCATTAATAATTTCAGCATTTTTACTCTGTATTTCAAATAGTTTCTAGAATCATTTTTTCAGCTTTATAACTTTTACTATCCTATACTTTACACATCTATTAATGAAACACTCATTCATTTTAGCTCCTTTGCATCTTCACATTTAGGTAAGCTGTGGTAAAAACCATTTGCTATCCTTTGAGACTCAGCGTCTCTGACACACCTAATACTTTTGTGGAGAACAAGTTGATACCTCAAATCATTATTACATATGATCCTTATGCATTTTCATTATTCATAGTGCTTGTTTGTCCAATGTTAAAGAAAGGCCACTACATAATGGATCCATGGTTGCATCATACAATGTAATTGGGAGTACATCATTAGACCTTTGTAATTAGGATTACACGATGCCAAAAGATACTTATGCCTTTGGTTCTTCCTCCTTTCTTGTCATTGTTCACCTTCTCCTCCTCACTTGGCTCTTCCTCATCTCTCGGCTTGCCATCTTTAACGAACCTTTGTTGGCAATACTACTCCATCGACAATACTTCTTTGTCGGTGATGCTCCCTTATAAACCCTTCACCAATGACACTTTTGAACCATAACTATGATATATATCTCATTCACTTGTCTTCTACAAATCCAGTCATTCATGCATCTTTTCTAGTGTCACGCCTTAAAAATTTGGCATGACTGGCATGGGACAAATGTACAAACACACATCTCGTAAGCCTTGATCA